TCAAAGACCTGGCATAATACGGCTATTCGCTTGTGTATTGCTTAACAAAATGCACAACAAAGTGCGGGGAAGGGGTAGGTGACCGCTGCGAATCCCCGGCAAGGATGGCAAGTGCGCGAGAGCCGTCGTTGGTAGCGGTCACCGGACCGATACGACTTGGGGACCTTCAAGAAAAACTTACTCCTTTCTAAAGGGCCGGCATCGCACCTGCAATTTCCCTGGTGTTGCGGTTGTTCATGGGCTGCGGTAGTCACTTAACATCAGGTGAACCATATGCTCGTTTGCCCCTCTACTATATATATAAAAAAAACTAATAAAAACATAATTTTATATGACACTAATATACCCGTCACTTCTGGACGTAAGAGGAAGCTCAGCGAGCTACGGAGACGACTGTGCTTGGGGTTTTCTGCATGATAAACTTAGAAAATAAATAAGGATCTCGGCAGTAGAACCAGAGTGACCGACATAGTCTAACGGATTAGTAAGCTGAAGTGGCGATGGGTTAGCCATATAGCTCGAAGAACCGACAACCGAAAAAAGTTTCACGGATAGCAACCTCGTACCTGTAGGCGAAGTGTAGAGGACCCCCTCCCCTCTCGACCCTAGATGGAGTGACGTCCTGGTAAGAAATGCAGGAAACCGATGGGTGCAAGTGGCTCAGGACCGTGCTTTATGGCAATTCTTAGGGGAGGCTTATGTTCAGCAGTGGACTTGTGAAGGGCTGTAATGAATGAAAAAACACTAAAAATCACTTTTAACAACGCTGAACTTATGCGGACTATGATGATTTGCATATCGATAAAAATATCGACATAGCCCTCACCCTACGTTGCTGACATGCATGTAGACAGCATCACCAGTGTATCGACACGTGTACAATTTGATAGTTTGCGTAAATGCAATGAACACAAACATTTTTTATACGATAGGGTGACAAACGAGCACACAGTCCACCTGATGGTAAGTGGTTGCTGTGGCCCATAGACATCTACATCTATCCTCGATTACGAATTAAAATGCAGATGCGTAGTCACCCGTGATGACTAAGATGGACTAACTCGTTTCCAGTAAAAAGGGTCTCCGGTTCTCTACAGTCACCATACTAAACACCGCAGTCCTTCCCCGGTCGAGCTGACCCATTCGTGCTACAACAATACTACTAATATAACTGCAGCATGGCTCTACCACGTAAAAAACTTATAGTCAACCAAATCTAAGAAATACCTTTTGACGTTTCACATTAATCATTCCGCAATAACTTTTCACAAGCGTACTTGATTTAAAATAACCTTTTACGTAAATCCGAATAATTATGAAGTTATCTACATTTCGTTACAACGTGTACAGTGTTTTATCACTAATTTAAATTAGAATTTTTCGAACAAAGCAAAATATTAAAAAATAACCAGTATTAACTTTTTTACTTGACGTCGTGTCAATGATATGTCGCCATGTATATTACCGTAGTGTTTGGATGATTAAAATTCGTTGTTATGCGAATAATCGGCAAAATATTCAAATAATCGGTAAAATAATTCTAATAATCGGTAAAATAATTCTAATAATCGAATCATTAATTTCTTTAATGTATTATTTGTTTAATTAGTATTTTTATTTTAAAATCCTTAAATTACATGAATTATAATAAAACAAGTTTATTTTTTCACTTTGTCAAAATAAATTTGTGTAGGCAAAAACTCATATACACAGCTACTACTAAAATAACCACTACATAATTTCAAAATCCCGCCATTTCGGTAGCAGTTACTCGACTCCACAATTCATTCTTGAGGCGATGTATACGCTTTTACAACAAAATGCCAGAAAATATACAAATATTGACGTAAGTACATAAAGTTAAAAAACTTTATTCAACTAAGTTTGTATAAAAATGGTTATTTTAATATTAAGGAATTTATGGATGATAATAACCCCCGGGAAGGGTGATCGCTACCACGCTATTTTTAATTTGTTTTGTGTTGTTAATTGTAACACGCATGATTGTAACTCTTATTCTAAAAAAAACTAGTCCCGTTGGGTTTCTTGCTGGTTCTTCCCAGCACAGAGGATTTTTTGCGAACCAGTGGTAAATGAAAAAAGTGACTTTCAATAAGTATTATTCATAATCTATATTGAATATAAAGTTTCAGTTTCTGTTTCGAGAGCTTAACTATGCGTAATTTTGTGATTTTGTGTTTGTCTTCTTATTTTGTAACTCGGCGTTAACTTTTTGGACTGTTTCTTCTATAATAACTTTTTGTACGTGTTAGAGCCTCGCTACATTTATATTATAGTTGTAGCACGAATGGGTCGGCTCAACCAGGGCAGGACCACGCTCTCACAGAATACCAGCGTAAAATAGCAGCGTTATGCTGATGTGTTTCGTATGGTGACTGTAGAGAACCGGAGACCCTTTTTAGTGGAACCGAGGCATCTTAGTCCTTCAGGCGTGACAACGCATTTGCATTTTGATTCTTAATTGAGGATAAATGTGTATATCTATGGGCCATAACATCCACTTACCATCAGATGGACTATGTGCTCGTTTGTCACGGCATGCTATAAAAAAATGAAGCATGTGCCCATCTCACAAATGATGAATGGTCAAAAGTGGTAGAAAAAACAAAAAAAATTGATTATGGATGACTTTGAAAGAGACATTAATTTTGTCTTCATTATTGAAAATCATATTAGAATTATTATAAACAACGACATCCCTACCAGTTGTGCTGAAAGTGATTGAATAAATTTATTTTTAATCTAATTTCAATCTTAAATTTGTATAACTGTGTCTCTAGAAATAAGCAGTAACAACAAATACGAAGAAACTGATAAATCTTGTTTTTTAAATTATCGGTTTTTAATTTATTCTGGTACTATTCAAACCAAACTGTAATTGATTACCAACTCTAAATAATCGATATCGATTTTTTTAAGAATCGAATATTGTGCGTTCTCATTTTTTAGTTGGCATGCTTGGTGCAATTAGTCTGACAGCTGTCAAAATGTATTTCTTAAATTTGGTTGACTGTAAATACTGTAGTGTGCATGTATAGTGACGCTCTGCGCCCTCTTTCCCTGCGCCCTCTTTTCCCAAAAGAGGGTCGCTCACGATAAGGCACAATAAAGCTTAATCAGCCAGTTGCCTGTCTCTAAAGGCGGTTTTTAGAGGGTATCACTTAGGTTCCCCGGTAGGATGTGAGTCCCTCATAACCACGATAGACCGGCTATCGTGGTATGCGTAATGCATTTTCCGCCTCCCTACGTATAGGGTAGCCCTTTAATTGTTTCGGGCGCAAAAAAAAAGTATAGTGACGCGATCACATTTTGTATTAGAAGTGAATTGTACAGTAGAGTGTTCTTCTCGCCTCTCCTTGAAATTGACAGACTTTTTGTTAAGGAATTTATTCCTAACAAAAAGTTCTTTAATTTATCCTCTAAATGCAAATGCGTTGTCACTCCTGAAGACCAAAATGTAATCTCTCGTTTTCAGTAAAAAGGGACTCCGGTTCTCTACACTCACCATACGAAACACAGCAATATTAAGTTGCTATTTAACGCTGGTATTTTCTGAGAGCGGAGTCCTACTCTGGTCTCAAAGTTGACCTATTCGTGCTGCAAACAGCACACATTTTATATATATGATTATACTAGGTTTATTCAATTTCGAAAAAATTAACTATTTGAGTCACATTAAATTTAATTTCGTTTTTTTTGTAATTGACCGTTTTTCTGCCCCATGAGTCTTAAATGATTATTTCCATTGTTTAATTATTGTCTTTTTTAGTGGACAGGGAAGTCGACACACTTAAAATATCTGCTACTCATAAATTGTATAAAAGAGCTTATGATATTGAATTATACATGTCTCATACTAATCCCTGGGAATGAAGTGAATGCTATCATGGTGTTTTAAACGGCTTTTTTAACTAAACAATAAGCAGACATTTTAATCTATTTTATTTAAAAATTACCAAACTACTAATAAAATATTACATAACGTTTTATAACTTATTATGGAATAAATAGCATTTATTTAATTTCTAACGTTTTCCCTTTTACTGTATTTAAACTAGTTTTAATTGAGATTCTAAGATAATATACGCATAATCAAATAGACTTCGCTAAACCTAGCTACCAACCTGGTTTTAACTAATGCAGTGTAATACAATTGTGTACAATGTACAATTGTTGTACAATGTAGTCACTATTTATTCCGACACCGACGTGTGTCCGACCCGTGGGACCAGTGTGTCTCACAGAAATACTTTCAATATAGTGTTCAGAAGCGTTTTAGCAGTCATTCGATCCCAGGATTTTACAAGCGCCTTTACTAAAATAGAAATTTTAATTTTATTTATTTTTTAGCAAACAAAAAAAATATTTTAAAAAATTCCTATTGTAATAAGTGTTGCTATAATACTTTAAAGAATTTAAATAAAAGAAAACTCGAAAGAACTAAATATAAGAATTTTTAAACAATATAAATATTTTCTCCCCGCGAATTAGCGATTTTTTAGCGAAGCTTAGAATTAATTAATAGACAAGAATATTAGAATATAATATACATATACGTATTATACATCACTAGTCGTGTGTGCGTAGTATCGTCCAAGAGTACCTTTGTATAAACTGAAAGTACGTTAGTAGTCTGTGGTCGTGTGCTTGTTTGTCAAACAAAACGTTGTGTTGATTGTAATAATATTATAATCTTTGGTTTGATTTTCAACTTTTTTCTGTGTAATAACGCTTTAAAATAAAGTTTTGAACATAATTAAATAAGTTGTGTTATTAAATGAAAGCATTGATTGTGAAATAATGATCATATAAAATAATTAAAAACATAACCTATCATACCTATAACAAAAATGTTTGCGATTTGCCGGCAAACTCATCCAGCTACAGGAATTGAGCATGCAATAAGCTGTTGCTTTTTCAACAATGAGGAGACGTGTTTGGTTACCGCCGGCGCTAATATCATAAAGGTTTTTCGACTTATGCCTGAAGGGCATACAAAGGAAGTTAATGCTGGTAAGTGAAAAATCTGTTGGAGACTGAAAAATTTAACATGAAATATCATGAGCCAAGGACTTTATTTAAATTTTAGCTGGGCAGCCCATTCCTCCAAAGATGAAGTTGGAATGTCTTGCATCATACACATTATGGGGTAATGTGATGTCTATAGCATCAGTAAAGTGTGCAAGCGCTGGGAGAGACCTGTTATTATTATCATTCAAAGAAGCTAAGCTCTCTATTGTTCAGTATGATCCACAGATAAACAACTTGGTTACTTTAAGTATGCATTACTTTGAGGAAGATGATATGAAGGTAAGCACTTGTGTAATAAATTTAAAGAAAGACAGGTGAATATTATTATTATACAACTTGCTGCTTAAATGCCTTCTGCAACAATCCCCTAACACCTATGTAATATTTTAAATGTTATTTGATTATATAGTGCATAGTAGTAGTATAATTTCTGTTTTCAATAACAACAATAACTTTAAATTTAAATAATCATTACACTTTGTTTATTTTATCATTATTGTCAACATAATATGGACAGGTAAATTTAACAAGTGGTAAAATTAAAAACTTCTATCTATTTATATTTATATTGAGAACATCATCAATGTAGTCAAAGTCAATTAAATATGTATTACTAAGGATAACTCAAAAACTACTGGTCAGATTAAATTCGGGACGACATGAGAAGCATCAACTTTCAAATAAAAAAACATTCATCAAAATCTGTTCACCTAGAAAAAAGTTCTGAGGTAACATAATGATTTCTTAAATTTACGCGAACACTACACATTGAATAAAACTATTATTTTCGGATTTTATCGCGTATAATTACTTTAATTTATTTTTTATTATTATACCGACATTTCGGGTGTTTTACAGCACCCATGGTCACGGGGGGACTGGAGTCCACCCCCCCATGGTCACAGTCACGCCATGGTCCATGGTGACCATGGGTGCTGTAAAGCACCCGAAACGTCGGGATAATAATAAAAAATAAATTAAAGTAATTAAACGCGATAAAATCCGTAAATAACAGTTTTATTCAATTCTGAGGTAACACTTGAAAAAAATACACTCAAATTGAGAACTTCCTTTTTTTAAGTAATTTAAAAATTTACTACATATATATAGAGATGGGATGAATATTCATTTTATATTCGGTATTCGGCATATTCGACAGCTATACTAAATATTCGTATTCGGCCGAATATTCGGCTAAATCACCAAACATTCGTTTTCATAGTGGCCAATATATTGCAATGTACGAATTGAGTAATGCAATGTCTTTTCCTGTTGAAAGTATATTTTATTTATGGGTTAAATCTACTTATTCTAGAGTGCCTCAAATGCATAAATCTATACATTTATGTTTTTGAGGAATTGTAGATTAATTTTAAAATGTTTTTGGAATCAAACAAAGAAACATTACATTACATTTCACTTTACTTCGGTCGTCAGTTTCTCTAAAATAAGTCCAAGTAGTAAATCTCCTGCCGCTCATTTTTATCATATAATTATTAATTTTCACTAAGAATAAAACAACGAAATACGTTTTTATCACAAGAGTAGTCAAAACATAAGCATGTGTCGACAATCAGTACTAGATGAAGAAATAACATGTCAGGTGTGGCGTTCCCGCCTTGTCGTGGCGGGGGGGCTTAGTAGCCGTGGCTTGGTCTCTCACGGTGAACAAAGAGGAACCCACGTGGCTGGCCCAAGGTGAAGGGCCGGTCTGAGGTCGCCACTCCGAGTGGGCTTGGGGAGCCCATTTCGGATGTGTGCTGGTGGACTGCAGCGAGTGGGGACTCCGCACCCTCTACCGCTGCAGCCGAGGTGGAGTCGCGGAGGAAGAGGAGTGTTGGTATGGCGATGCGCCACTCGCCCTATCCTCCGCGACTCAAATGGGGCCGCACCGTTGATGCGGTGGTGATGGGGCTGCGGGGGGAGAGGATTGTCGGTATTGCTCCGCAGCCGAATCTTGGTTGGCGGCGGAGCCATAGACCAGATCCGCCGCTGGGGTCGGGAAGGCTAGTACTTCTAAGTGCTCGTTTTTTCCTGGCCCCATGGCCTTCGCGCATCGGACGCGGGGGCGTCTGTTGCGCAGATGCAATTGGAGGCCGTGGAGGAAGGCGTGCCATGTGTTCTGGTGCGCCTTACTTGGGAAGGAGAACGGGGAGGAATATTCCTCTCCCGAGGAGGTGCTGCCATGGGGCGGCAGTCGCTGGTAGGGCCGCGGAAGTGTGCGAAAGCGTTCCCGTAGCCCTGCCAATATGCGACGAAGGTGGAACACCATGGGGTTTTAGTCGGTGCGAGTCCGACATAACCCGTCCTTGCCCCCCGCGAGGCGGGTATGCGTAGGCATTTACCCATGTTAAAAAAATAAAAAAAATGGTGTGGCAGGGGAGCGAGGGGCAGGGTCTAGCGCTAATTCTGCGTGCTTTTTGGTAACAAGTTTCGACATAAATTGGATGGGTACCGAGGTGACCCTGCCGAATAATGTTCGGCCGAATATTCGGTTCGGTAAAAATTTTACTGAACATTCGGCCGAACAATCGTATTCGGTGAAATTCATATTCGGCCCATCCCTACTTATAAACTACAACACACACATAAACATACTCTCACTCCTGTCACACACAGGGGTAGGCAAAGACTAACTGCTTTCATTTTGCAGAATCCAATGCATAGATACTCATTGTTTAAGCATATTTTATTTAATATGGCCCATCTTTAAGTATAAGGACAAAGTTTTTTTGTTAAACATTAAAAATTTGTTGTTAAATTTTTGAATAGTAAAAGTGTTGGATACATTATACACATAATTACAAAAGCAGATAAAGCAAGAAAGTAATGGCCAAGCTACACGCTCCGTCTTGCCTGTGAGCATGCCTGCACAAACCAGTTTGCACAGGTAAGCATGTGCATGTGGACGGCAAGATGGTAGCTTGTGCAGGCAACTCGCATAATCGTTGACATGCTGAAGATTGGTCTGCACGCTTATTATTATTATTTATTAATTGTTGCTTTTTACAAGTAAACAATAACATAAGGCTCTGTTTAAAAAAACCTCTTCTGGCCACTTTGTGACGTGACTAGCTCTCAAAACACTTAAAAGTTTGCACAGTCCAGTTTGCACGAGCTTACCTGCACGAGCCATTGTACAGTCATGAATGCACAGGCCTGGACTGCGCAGGCAAGACAGAGCGTGTAGCCGGGCCATAACATTGTTACTGTAGAAATGTGGTCATTAAGAAGTATGCATGCAGAATATTGATGGTTGGGTAAGAAATTGTATGATCAGAGAACAGTTTGGATTTCTAGATGTTCTGACTGAGATTAAGAAAGGAATGCAATGGTGGCTTGTAGATGAAGAAAAACTAAATGAGAAAACGGTGACAAACCAAATTTATGCTGTAGAAGTGAGTGGCAAAATCACCAAGGTACACCCTAGGCAAACGTTTATCGACCGATTTGGTGATACATTGATGATAGTCTAATTTAAAAGTACCCTTGATTGACGAGTGTGTATGTGTAGGTTTGAGGATTTGAAAGAAGTTAGTTTATGACTGGCTGATATTACCCCGAAGAAGATCTGAAAGAAGTGAGAGGTGTCAGGATTGTGCCAAATGGAAGTCCGTAGTCTCCTTTATCCTGTCCTGTCATTTGTAATTATATTTTAGGGTGGATGGACAACTCATCCTCATATACCATGGATCCGTGTAGATCCAGAATTTAGATGTGCTGTAATGTTGTTATATGGAAAGAAATTAGCTGTTTTACCATTTAGAAAGGATATAACATCAGAAGAGGGTGATCCTTTGGAAGCTAAACCTTTACTAGATAGTAAAAAGAATGTGAGTATATCTCTTTCATTTTCTATTACATGGTCGGTGTTAATTTTATTATAATTATTATAAACTTGTGGTATCTAAATATGTATATAGGGTGGCAACCGTGTAGTCTATGAAAGGCTTGTGTAGAGCCATTTAGAACCCGTGGACCTTTTTCTCTTTCCATATCGCCTCCTAGTCGATGACAATCTGTGCCGAGTCTTGCCATTGCTCATTGGCTAAGGATAGAGGAGTAAGCCTTTTATCACACAATGGCGGCCTTGTAGAATTATTAAATAAGTACATAGAGCTTTCCTATCCCAAAATTAATCTGTTAGACCTATATGCCTGACTATACATTTTGATCATGGGCGGCGGTAGTCACTTAACATCGGGTTGTTGCATGCTCGTTTGCCCCCTCTTCTATAAACATAAAATATACTCTTATGTATAATATATATAATGATTTGTTTTTGTTTTAGCAACCTACTCAACCAATAACAAGGTCTCCAACTTTAGCTTCTTATGTCATAGTACTAAAAGATCTAGATGAGAAGATAGACAATATTCTAGACATTCAGTTCCTATACGGTTATTATGAGCCTACATTATTGTTGTTGTATGAGCCAGTGAGGACTTTTCCAGGGTGAGATCATATGTTTTTATATTTAATTAACAATAATTTAGCTTGAGCAGAACATACATATATGTTCTGACACATTTTTGGACTGTCTTATAAGAACTGTACCGAATTTTCCATTTGTGCGTACAATGGATGGCACATTCTACAGTTTTCTGAAATATAAATTATAAATTTAGTCTCTGGCAATTATTACTTTTAAAAATTATTTACAAATTAAAAGTTCACTTCAAATATTCTGTTGCTAGACGTACAGCAGTCCGCAGTGATACATGTGCTATGGCCGGTGTAAGTCTCAACATGTCGGCGCGAGTGCATCCAGTCATTTGGGCAACTGCCGGATTGCCGTTTGATTGTATTCAAGCGGTACCCATTCAGAAACCTCTCGGTATGTCTGTTTGCTTCAGTTGTGTTTATAATACATTTCTTTTACTTTTGTGGTAGATTTTTAGCCAGGCCTCATTCAATTCCTATGAGGCATGTTTTTATTTTCCCATTTACTGTCTATGCATAAAAACAATTACAACTAATAAGTACTGTCAAAATCTGTGAACTATACCGGAGATATTTTAGAGCTTAAAGTGTATATAGGTAATGTAATTACACAAAAATTTACTCGCCCTAACCTACACATACCCAATGTAAAGCTTTTGCAGTGACATCTGATCTGGTCTGCAGTATTAGAGACATTGGAATAATCATTTTTTTTTGTGATGAGTGTTGGATCCAGCTGGGTTTTCAACTTCGGTCCTGACATAATAGCCAGTTATTCTGACTATAAGCCTACCAGGTTGAAGTTTTTTTTTGTTTCCTCATTAGCCTGAAAAGGCCATTGCTGAGCTTTTCCCATTATAGGGCCCTAATCGTCACCTATGCGGAGATATTGAAAAAAAAAACGCGAAGTCTGGGTATTTTAAATCTGAAGTCATCAAGGTGGTTATACCACAATCAGAAACATTTTTCTGTCATTTCCCATAGTTGCCTCTTACGGTGCTTACCACAGCAAGTATTATAAGAAGATTGGAGGGAGGATGTTAGGATACACTATTATGATATTTGTCACTGCTAATTTAACCATTTCACTGTCATGGAGTCCATGGAGAAATATAAACATTTCGATTGTTTAACTATTGTCTTTTTGGCGAACAGGTAACTTTTTAAGATTCGAACTTAGAAAAATTAAGAACTATTAAAGCTATGCTTTTGTTGTTTTTAGTATCTGTATAACTTTCAATAATTAATGAATGGTCTTAGAACTACGCAAATAGTACTTGTTGAGGTACTTGTGGTATATTCGTGAACATGTGTGTCTTTGATATACTTGGTTGTATATTGATGTAAGATATGTGTCTATGTATTTATTAATCTTTTATGCTTTGTTTTTGAGATTTTTCATTTATTTACAGGTGGATGTTTAATCCTTGCTGTAAATTCTCTCATATATCTGAATCAGTCTGTTCCTCCATATGGTGTTTCGTTAAACAGTATTGCTACGCATACAACAAATTTCCCACTCAGTAAGTGTTCTATACTAATTATTTATATATTTTTTGGTTTACATGTACTATAATGATATCACTCGTTATATTACTGGTGAATTCTAAAAAGAAGATCATCTTTTTTGACAAAAATACTGTTTATCTACTACATATTATGCTATTTTCTAATGGCAATGCACAGGACAGGATACTTCATGTAAAATAGTTGTAATATTTTTATTGTAAAATAGTTACTTGTAATAAGATATAAGACAACCAGACTAGAAAAAAATACTTGATATTTCAAAAAGGAAGAGTGTTTTAAAGAGACTAATTCATTTCGTCATTAATATAAGTACGAAAAAGAAGGGGACCTAGTATCGATCCCTTAGGGACGCTCACATACACTACAACTTATATAAAAAATACTGAATAAAGATTTTTCATTCATTTTCAACTTAGAAAAAGGTACCACTGGTAATTATTTTCTATGACATAGTGGGATGTTTTAGCGCTAAATTGAACAAAATTTTTCTCTCTTAGTCTAGGCATCGAATATGTGTCTTGATAGCTGCTTATAATATAACTAATCCTTGAAAAAACTGATCAATTATTTAAACAGTAAATCGAGCGAGCATGGCGTTGTTTAATTTTAAGCTAATTAGCTTTTGACAATTGTCAATGACCATTTATTTTATCAATTTTTTTAATTTATCAAAAATATCTCCAAGTTTTTCCACTCCTGGCACTGCTCTCTATCTGTTTGTGAAGTTCATTACAATCGGTTCAGTCATTTCGAAGATTAGCCTGGTCAGATAGACAGAACAAAATAAAAGAAAATGGTTATTTAAGTAGTCACCCTCAGCTCAATGAAAGAGAGCTATTTTGATATTAATTTATATCGTAATTGATCACTAGGGAAGTAGAAAGTGTTCAAGACAGAGCCCGTCGGGAAGTAGAGAGGGAAAAGGGGCCTATGGAAAGCAGAGAGCGTTGAGTAAGAACACGAGCCTCCTGTGAAGTAGTGAGCGTTGAGTAAGAGGATAGGGCTCCTGAGAAAGCAGTAAGCGTTGAGTGAAGGAGCATGGTTCCTGAGGAGTAGTGAGAGTTGAGTAAGGGGCAGGGGTAGTGGGGAAGCGGTGAGCTTTAAATAAGGGGCAGGGCTCTTGGGGAAGCAGCGATCATTGAGTGACGGGGCAGGGCTCCTGAGGAACAGTGAGCGTTGAGTGAGTGGGCAGAGCTCTTGGGGAACAGTTGAGCGTTAAGTGAGGGGGCAGGGCTCATGGGAAAGCAGTGAGTGTCGAGTTAGGGGGGAGGGCTCCTGGGAAAGCAGTGAGCGTTAAGTGAGGAGAGCATGTGGCTGACAGGGATCCAGGAGGGCGTGTGCGTGACGCTGGACGGCGCGCACGTGGCGGCGCTGGGCGAGTGCCGGCTGGCGCTGGCGCTGCGTGGCGGCCAGCTGTACGTGCTGACGCTGCTCTCCGACTCCGTGCGCAGCGTACGCAGCTTCCACCTGGACCGCGCCGCCGCCTCCGTGCTCACCTCCTGCGTGAGTACCCACCCCCGCACCGTACCACCTGACAGACCAATCACGTGAAAGAATGTTGGACGTCCTAGGACGTCCAACATTCTTTCACGTGATTACAACTTAGTATTATATAATATTAAAATGTACAAGGTGTAGTGTGGTCTAGACCACACTACACCTTAGCACGGTAGCTTATTAACCGACTAGTGCGCAACTCAAGTTTATACTTACGACTCATCAGCTTATTTATGCATATGTATGGCCCACTGTCACACATATGTGTGTTCTCATTTCTAAGAAGGAAAAGTCCGCGACGCTACCCTGATGTGTGTTGGCGGACTTTACATAACCTTGAAATATTTGTAATTCTTAAGATATACATATTTCTTCACGGAGCGTCCTTTAGATGTGGAGCACACATGGTTGTTAGTTTGTGCACCGTTCTCTCGCTCGCATCCTTCATCAATAATTTGTTTCTATAAATAACGCAACATGTTTACAGATGTGTGTGATTGAAGAGGATTTCCTATTCCTCGGTTCGCGCCTTGGTAACTCACTGTTGTTGCGTGTGACGGAAAGGGAGAACCGGATGTTGTTTACAGTTGATAAACCATTGGAGGCTACTGTTGACCTCACAGTGTCAGAGACCGGTGAGTGTCTTCTTAAATTTTATAAATACTATAAAACTAAATTTTATAGTATTTATAAAATTTAGTTTTTTATCTATCCGGTTTGACGGTGACCATTTTTTTTAAACCGACAGTGTCTACTGAAGCGGCACTGAGCACTTATTTCGGCTATGTCTCCTCAGTGCTCTTATACGGCCTCTTGTTGTGGGGCAACTGGGTTGAGGTTGGCAAGGCCTTTCGTGTTCAAAAGAAGTGTGTAAGGGCCATTTGTGGAGCTTGGTCTTTAGATAGTTGCAAACCTTTATCTCACAAATTTCACATACTGCCTCTAGCTTGTATGTACATACGGGAACTCAAAAATCATCCACAATATTTCATCATTAACTCAAGTTTAGTCAGTAGAAGTGCCACGCCAAGAAATAAATTTAAGCTATATCTGCCTCAATGCAGTCTTGATTTATATAAAAGAAATGTATTTATAAATGCCATTAGAGTTTACGATAAATTGCCCAACACTTTCAAAGACCTACCTTTCGTTATTTTTAAAAAGAAACTCACAACAGAATGGTTGGCAACAAAATGTTTTTATAGTGTAGACGAATATGTGACTTATAAAGAAATCTACAATAATGGTAATAATGAGAAAACTGTTTTTTTTGTCATAATAATAATATATAATATTTATCTTACTTTTTTGAAATTTTTAATTTTTTTCTAGATATTTGACATTTGTATACAGGATGTTAGTGTAAACACCGTTTTCCTTGAAACCAGTGGTTTGGTTTCACTTATAGAACGTAAAATCAATGAAAAATAACAAAAAAATTTTAAAAGTAAAATCTCAATTTTTCCTTAATTCTTCAATTTTTGCCTGTTCTAAGCCAGGATGAAAGTATGAAGGAAAAGTTACATCACAGGTTATAGTTCTATAAGTGAAACCAAACCACTGGTTTCAAGGATAACGGTGTTTACACTAACACCCTGTATAAACATTTACATAATTATTAAATTTTGACATGTATTTATTGTAATTTAAAAACTTGGTGCTGAAATGTTTTAATAGATTACATCCTTGTTTTCCTTCAATAATTTAACCTCATTAAATTTCAATAATATTTTTTGTATATTGTAAAGATATTGCACGTTAATATAATGGTAGAATATAAGGTCTCATTAATAAATAAAATCATTATAATATTATGTACTACATTCTGGCAATGAATACATTTGAATTGAATTTGAATTAAACTATTACAGATAAAGAAACTACAACCACAAACAAAGAACAAACTGCACAAAAGGAGGCACAGCTCGATCCTGCAACTAAGAAGCGCCGCATGGACACGATAAATGATTGTGTAGCGTCTAATGTAATAGAAATTAGCGAACAAGATGAGCTGGAAGTATATGGATCAGATATTCGGACGTCAACGCAGTTAACGAGCTATGTTTTTGAGGTGAGATATAAATGTTTTGGCATTGATTTTTCTTGCAATTAAAGATTGTTATAAGATATCTGATGATCGATAAATAAGAGAATATTGTTAAGTAAGCAAAGCTAAGTTACAGTTTACATAGTCTCGCTAACCCATGTTATATTACCAGCGAATGATCTCGGATATTATTCATTCTTAAAATCCTTTCAAAGAACTTTTATTTTAGTTACAGTGTTAACAATTTACTCGATAGCAAGTTGCTACTAAAGCCTATGGAAATGTAGAACATTCAAAAATTAAAGGGTAATTGTGAAATTGTAAAGTGTAAATGGGAAAATTCCTGCATATATCCGTCGTGCTGCAGCAAGAACGGGTTATGTGAGTTTCTATTTTAGGTTAAGTTAGTACTAAACCTTCCATTTTATAGGCAGTGCCACAGGAATGTTTTCGTAAACATCCACCTTGTTACTGTCAGCCGCCCGTTGGCGACTTTTTCTTGGGATGGGATAGTTCCTACCTGTTCTCCTATTTAGACAAATCGCGCCGAAACAAAAACGTTCCTCATGGTCATGAAGCCTGGTAAAATATGTGTCCGCAATAGCTAGCCTTCTTGGCACTAGCGCTGGATTTGGCGGGTCAAGGGGGAGAGGAGACGCCTCCCATCAAGATCACGGCCTTTCTTTTTGTTCACCATATGTAACCGAACTACGGCTGTCCTAAGTCTTCCCGCCGTTGAGACGAGGTGGGAATTCATTTGTGAAGGCTTTTGCCTGTGAATTAAGGTGGAAGTTCACAGCCTACAATTATATTAGAAATGGGAATATAACTGTGTTACGGGCGGACTCATGTCTAAGTTGAAGTGTCGGTCGCAGGTGTGCGACTCGCTGCTGAACATCTGCCCGATCGGCGACATATCGATGGGCGAGCCGCAGCTGGTGGGCGAGGAGGAGGCGCGGCGGGATGCTGCGCTGGAGCTGGTGGCATGCAGCGGCCGCGGGAAGAACGGCGCGCTCTCCGTGCTGCAGCGCACCGTGCGCCCGCACCTGCTCACCGCCTTCCACCTGCCTGGTGAGCCTCACCCGCACTACTACATCTGTTCACTACGTCTGGAGCTGGTAGCGTGCAGTGGCGGCGGGGAGACGGGGCGCTCTCCGTGCTGCAGCGCACCGTGCGCCCGCACCTGCTCACCGCCTTCCACCTGCCCGGTGAGTCTCACCCGCACTGCTACATCTGTTAACTACATCTGGAGCTGGTGGTGTGCAGCGGCCGCAGGAAGAACGGCGCTCTCCGTGCTGCAGCGCACCGTGTGCCCGCACCTGCTCACCGCCTTCCACCTGCCCGGTGAGCCTCACCCACCTCATCTGCACTACTACATCCGTTTACTACATCTGGAGCTGGTGGCGTGCAGCGGCCGCTGGAAGAACGGCGCGCTCTCCGTGCTGCAGCGCACCGTGCGCCCGCACTTACTCACCGCCTTCCACCTGCTCGGTGAGCCTCACCCGCACTACTGCATCTGTTCACTACATTTCTCCAACGTACAGTTGTACTACAACAATGGCGCGCAGAGACAACTATTATTGAAAAATAAACAGAAAAAGAGCAAACAGTAAGATAATCCACTTCCTCATATAATCCTGTGAGTGTCGTAACAGGCCACAGAAGGTAATATCTCAAAATAATAAAGAGCTTGCATTACTAAGTAATTTTTGTAATCTCTGTTAAATAAAATTATTCTACACTATGCTGCTGCGATATTCTCATTTGTCAGACGAGTATGATTTAAAAAAATATTTTTGTAAAAATTAACTTTTTTTGCCGCTGTATAGTGACGGAATGAGAAAACTTCTTGCCCCTCCATGGTCCTTCGAGCCGGATAAATTTCACCAGCTGAATTCAGTAATTGGAATTCAATGACTTTTATGCGGCTACAAAATCTACAAAATAATAATTTTGACTAACTTACTGACTGACTAAGAAGAGTAAAAAATTATAATATAAACATTGAAAAAACATAATTAATAAAAAAACTATAACAATATGTTTGTGTTCCCAATGCAGGCTGTATAGACATGTGGACGGTGATAGGCGAGGGTGAGTCCCGGGAAGCCCACAAGGATATGGAAGGCTCCCACGCGTACTTGATCCTCACGCAGGAAGACTCCAGCATGGTAAATCTTTTCGTTTTTTAGTTAACAAACGTAAAATATTAGTCTGTCAATGATAAATAACTTTTTCTCAATGAACACTAGGAGTTTAGCTAGTACATCTATGCATCAGCTATACAGGATGTTTGGAAGATGGGTGCAAATCCAGAAGGGGATGATACCTTAAACCATTTAGGACATACGAGTATTAAACTAAACTTGTCTTAGGCGAAGTTATGTTACTTATTATTTATTTACTTATTTAATGTGTGGTTACTCAAAATAATTTCCAAGCATCTTCATTTAATTCCGCTGCCATGTTGATGGGGAGGGGGAGGGATTAGGCCTCCGGCCACCTGCACTTACCAGACGAAACGCGGAAGCTGAGCTTCCACTTCATATTGCGTGAGGTCGTGGTACCATACCAGCTCGAGCCGGCCCATATGTGCAACAACAAAAGCTGCCACGTGGCTCTACCACTGTTAAACTAGTCTCCCAGACTTTTGAACAAGCCGGTTTCCGAAAAGGCTTTAGCACCATAGACTTAGACATAGACCATACCCTTCAGAAAATTGAACCGAAGTCCGAAGAGTACAATCTGCAACTTTGTCTTGCGTACGTGGACTATGAGAAAGCCTTGTCCTTCGGAAAATTGAACCGAAGTCCGAAGAGTACAATCTGCAACTTTGTCTTGCGTATGTGGACTATAAGAAAGCCTTACCCTTCGGAAAATTAAACCGAAGTCCGAAGAGTACAATCTGCAAATTTGTCTTGCGTACGTGGACTATGAGAAAGCCTTGTCCTTCGGAAAATTGAACCGAAGTCCGAAGAGTACAATCTGCAAATTTGTCTTGCGTACGTGGACTATGAGAAAGCCTTGTCCTTCGGAAAATTGAACCGAAGTCCGAAGAGTACAATCTGCAACTTTGTCTTGCGTATGTGGACTATAAGAAAGCCTTACCCTTCGGAAAATTAAACCGAAGACCGAAGAGTACAATCTGCAACTTTGTCATGCGTACGTGGACTATGAGAAAGCCTTGTCCTTCGGAAAATTGAACCGAAGTCCGAAGTCCGATTGTACCGAAGAGTACAATCTGCAACTTTGTCTTGCGTATATGGACTATGAGAAAGCCTTACCCTTCGGAAAATTGAACCGAAGTCCGAAGAGTACAATCTGCAACTTTGTCATGCGTATGTGGACTATGAGAGAGCCTTGTCCTTCGGAAAATTGAACCGAAGTCCGAAGTCCGATTGTACCTAAGAGTACAATCTGCAACTTTGTTTTGCTTATATGGACTATGAGAAAGCCTTACCCTTCGGAAAATTGAACCGAAGTCCGAAGAGTACAATCTGCAACTTTGTCATGCGTATGTGGACTATGAGAGAGCCTTGTCCTTCGGAAAATTGAACCGAAGTCCGAAGTCCGATTGTACCGAAGAGTACAATCTGCAACTTTGTCTTGCGTATGTGGACTATGAGAAAGCCTTTGATTCCGTCGAAATTTATTTATTTTATTTATTTATTTATTCACTAATTGCGTTACATGTGACTTAGAGACTAAACAAAACATGCAAGTTCTAACAATCACGTGCACCTCGAAAGCCATAGCAATGAACAGGAGAGGGGCAGGCGCTTAAAAATTCTTTTCCTCAATGTATTCATTAATTGAATAATAACTTTTTTTAATAAGTATCTCTTTTAAAGATCTTATGAATTTATTAATATTTGTTTCGGCTTTTATGTATTCCGGCAATTTATTATAAATTTTTATTGACATCGAGTAAGTACCTGTCATCATCATCATCATCATCATTACAGCCCTTCACAAGTCCACTGCTGAACATAGGCCTCCCCCAAGTAATGCCACAAAGCACGGTCCTGAGCCACCTGCATCCATCGACTTCCTGCATATCTTACCAGGTCGTCACTCCATCTAGTGGGGGGTCGCCCTACACTACGCCTACCGGTACGAGGCTGCCACTCGAGAACCTTTCTTCCCCATCGGTTATCGGTTCTTCGAGCTATATGGCCGGCCCATTGCCACTTCAGCTTACTAATCCGTTGGGCTATGTCGGTCACTCTGGTTCTACTGCGGATATCCTCATTTCTGAGTCTATCACGCAGAGAAACTCCGAGCATAGCCCTCTCCATAGCTCGCTGAGCGACCTTGAGCGTCCTCATACGGCCAGCAGTGAAGGACCACGTCTCTGATCCGTAAGTCATCACTGGCAACACGCACTGGTTGTACACTTTAGTTTTCAGAGATTGAGGTATACCTGACGAGAAGATGTGTCGTAATTTCCCGAACGCTGCCCAGCCGAGTTGAATCCGTCGATTGACCTCTCGGTCGAAGTTGGACTTACCTAGTCGGACTATTTGTCCCAGGTAAACGTACTCGTCAACAACTTCGAGCATAGTGCTCCCCACAACTACCGGCATAGGTGTGACATGGACATTGAACATAATCTTTGTTTTGTCCATGTTCATCTTAAGACCTATCCGTTGGGAGACACCATTGAGGTCATTGAGCATAGTGCTAAGGTCCTCCAGCGATTCTGCCATAAGGACTATATCGTCGGCAAATCGAAGGTGAGTGATGTACTCGCCATTGATGTTAATACCGTATCCTTTCCAGTTCAGTAGCTTGAAAACGTCTTCCAAAGCAGCGGTGAAGAGTTTCGGGGATATAACGTCACCCTGTCTTACACCTCTCTGCAGTTGGATAGGTTTCGAGCTCTGGTTCTGTACTCGGATAGCCATCGTAGCCCTACTGTACAAACACTTCAGCACTTCGATATACCGACAGTCAACTTGGCACCGCTGAAGGGACTGCAGCACCGCCCAAATTTCGACGGAATCAAAGGCTTTCTCATAGTCCACATACGCCAGGCAAAGTGGCAAATTGTACTCGTCAGTCTTCTGTACAATCTGCCGCAGGGTATGTATGTGGTCTATGGTACTGAAGCCTTTTCGGAAACCGGCTTGTTCGGGAGGCTGGAAGTCGTCGAGTCTGCTTGCGAGACGATTCGTAATGACTCTCGAAAACAGCACGTAGACGCGGCTCAGAAGGGAAATCGGTCTGTAGTTCTTCAAGAGAGCGTTGTCGCCTTTCTTAACGAACAAGACCACCGCACTTCTGCTCCACGCCTCTGGAGTAGTGCCACCATGGAGGACGGAATTGAAGAGCTTCTGAAGGACTTCAAGTACCGGTGTTCCACCCGCTTTCAGAAGCTCCGCTGTAATTCCATCCTCGCCCGGGGCCTTGCCGTTTTTAAGGTGTTGGAGAGCCATTCTAATCTCGCTCAGACTGACGTCCGGGATATCATCGGAATAGTGTCGGATAAGACTTGCTCTTGGATCGTTACTCACACTTGAGTGTGGCTCCAACGATGATGTGTACAGCTGCCCATAGAACCTCTCAATCTCACTCAGAATCTCAGGTGTCCCGGAAACGATGTTGCCACACTCAGTCTTCAGCCTTGACAGTTGGCTCTTTCTGGCAGACAGATCTCTGGCAAAGACTTTGGAGCCCTGGTTCCGCTCGATCGCTTCTTTAATACGAGAAGTATTAAAGTTGCGTAAGTCTCGCCGCATGCATTTGGAGATCTGTCTGTTCAGTTGCCTGTATGCTGTCAAATCTGTTGACGATTGCAGCCTCATCTCCCGTCTAACAGCCATGAGATTAAGAGTGTGATCGGAGAGTTTTTGTGTTCTTCTGCGGCGGGTCGTGCAGAACTTAGCTCCGACCGCATGGACAGTTTCCACGAGCTTGTCATTCATATCGTCCACTGCATTGCAATCTTGTAGGCACTGAAAGCGGTTGTGTAACTCGAGCTGAAAGTTTTCGGGATTCTGGATTAGAGCACGAGGGGGACGGAGCGTTGACTTCATTAGACGAGACCTCTCCAACTTAACGTTTAGGTTCAGTGTGCCTCTAACCATTCGGTGATCGCTGCCAGTTTTCACCCTTGCGATCACTGAGACATCACTGAACAGTTGGCGTCTGGTCGTCATAATGAAGTCAATCTCATTTTTTGTCGAGCCGTCGGGGCTCGACCAGGTCCACTTCCTGTGGGGCCGCTTCTGGAAGAAAGAGTTCATCATAAAGAGTCCCTCTTTCTCCATAAAGTCGGCCAGCTGCTGGCCCCTTCGGTTCCGTTGCCCTATTCCAAATTTCCCTAACTTCAGCTCACCGTTTTCTCTGGTGCCTAGTTTTGCGTTGAAGTCTCCCATCAACACCGTGTAGTGGGTTTTGGAGGAATGCATGGCTTTGGAAATATCCTCATACATTTCCTCCACCTCCTCATCGGAATGTGCCGAGGTTGGTGCGTAAACCTGTATGACCTTCAGCGAATACCGTTTGGTGATTCTGAGTATCAGGTACGCGACCCTCGTCGACACACTCCCAATCTTTACAACGTTGTTGACGAGAGACTTGTGGACGATAAATCCGACACCTCCTTGGGACAGATGGTCGCCCTCCCGGTGATAGAACAAGTTGCCGGATTCGAGAATCACCGTGTCCTCCCCTTCTCTTCGGACCTCGGATAATCCTATAATACTCCAGCGCAACTTGTCTATCTCTTCTTCCAGCTCCAGGATCTTCTCGTCAGTCCTCAGTGTGCGTGCGTTAAATGTTGCCAGGTCGAGTCGTCGTAGGTGGCAACCGAACCTCCACCGGAGATTCTTAGCACCCCCTGCCCCGCCGTTACCATGGTCGCCACCGTAGCCAGGAATAGCGGAGCCGCCGGGGACTGGGGGCCGTCTATTTGTGTAATTATTCATGGGGGGTATATTGCCATAGTTGCCACGCTTGGCGAGCGGGTTGGCAACCGCAGTTTTTTTTTTTATCGTACAGTTGCTGTTATCAGGAAGATGCTGCTGCCCATCTCCTGCCTGTCTCCCTCTGTCGCCTTTTACGACACCCACGGGAAGATATGGGGTAGTGGATATTCTTAACCGCCACTACAAGGACCTGTACTGTGTAATTTTAATTTAGATTTTGGTTGCAAAAGGTTATTCTTCTAGCGAGGTACGTTGTGTCGGGGCGCGTGTAAGATTTAGGTGTAAAAACTTGGGTGTCTTTTTACAAATTTACATAATTTCTAATATATAATATATATAATATTATATATTAGAAATATAATATTATATATAAGTGAAAAATAATTGTGGCAACAAAAGTGACAAGTTGTAAAATAATAGCTCCCAACAATTTAGCAAAATTAAATATTGTAATTTGATAATATCCACCTCAATTTTTAGTTACAGTTGTTAAATAATACTTAATTGTGTTGGTAAAATAAGTAAAAGGCATAAGTATTTTAATTAAATAGTGTTTTGTGTTTCAACTAAAAGTGACAGCTGTAACGAACATCGTTTGAACTTTCTGTAAGTTATTGTAATTTTCTTGTTATCCCTTTAATATTTTAAGATTTACCTTTTAAATTAGTGCAGTTTCGGATTTCAATTTGAATTATTTACCAGATAATTTAATTTGAGATCTGTAAGTAGACCCATATATCTAGACATTAGCTTACTCTGTTTTTTAGGTTTTCTTTCTTTGTTTTCTTTTGCTATTTACACATAATAGTAAAATGAATACACGCAACGCCAAAACGCGCCAAATAGAGAACCAACTTCAAATGGCGCTTCTAGAACTTAAGGCGTCAAAAGAACAGTGTGAGCTGTTGCTTAAAGAAAGGGATGACAACGAAAAGGAAATAATAAATATAACTGCCAAAAATAGTCAACTAAAAAGTGATATGGTTAAGTTGCATAAAGACTACACAAATGTTTTAAAAGAAAGGGATCAGCTTCAGGAAACAGTCGATGAGTTTGACCGATGCAGCAAAGAATATGAGGACTCCCTCAGATTAATTGCTGCATTGCAGTTGCAGTTAAGTGAGGCTAATGAGCAGAATTTGGAATTATATAGGCTTTCTCTTTGTTTGATATTTGCAAGTACGCGTATACATTTTTTTTGTAAAATAAAAAGTTCGTGTGATTCTACACTGTTGCCCCATAGTATGACGCCGTAGTTTAGCCACGCTTGAGCGTAGGCGTGATAGGCTGTCACTGCCGTTTTTAAATTTGTAGAGTTTTTTAATTCTCTAGAATATATAAATTGTGATAATTTTAAATTATTTTTTTGATATATGTGATTTAAAATTAACATTCGAATCTATATTTATACCCAGCAAAGAAAAATTTTGAACACATTCTAATTTTGTTTGATTATATGTATAATTTATCTCTAGTTCATGTTTTTGTCGTGGTCTTAATTATATTAGTTCAGTTTTTTTTGAAATTGACTTCTAAATTATGATCGCTTAGCCATTGTTTTACTTTATTTATAATTATGTCGATAATTTCATTAAGTTTGGTACCATTGATATAAGGGAACACAACGGAAAAATCGTCGGCAAACATCACACAAAGCTCATCAATAATCTTGGGGAGGTCATTGATGTAAATAAGGAAGCGGACACATCCGAGTACGGACCCCTGAGAGATAGAGTCCCGCACCGGCTGGGCCCTCGACCTGACACATGTTATGGTTTTTGAATCTTGATCTACATTTTCTATTTCGACGTACTGTGAACGATTGCTGAGAAAGGAAGCAAACCACTTATGAGCTACACCACGGATACCAATGTCATAAAGTTTATTTAAGAGAATGTCATATTTAATTTTTTCATATGCTTTTGTCATGTCAAATAAAATTCCTGTTGCGTATTTCTGATCGTTTAATATGTTCAAGACTTCATTAAAATATTTATATGCGGCCAGGGTTGTCGAGCGGTATTTTCTAAAACCATTTTGGGCGTCGTCGAAAATATTGTACGTTTCACAAAATGAGTATAATCGTTTGAACATAGCTCTTTCAAAAAATTTTGAAATTACGGGTAAGAGTGCAATGGGTCGGTAGTTATTGGCGTCCGTTTTTTTGTCTTTTTTATGTATTGGCTTTATAATAGCAATTTTTAGTAGGTCAGGGAATACTGCTTCAGAAAAGGATTGATTTATAATTAAAGTTAACGACGGAACTATTTCTTCGGCACATTTTTTAATAAGAGTGGACTGTAGCTCATCAACAGCGAAGCTAGATTTTAATTTTAGTTGTCGCACCAATGACATTACCTCTTTCAAGTTTCTCGTTCATCCACTGGGGTTAAGAACATCGAGTGCAGAGAGGGGCGCATAACCGGGCGGCCGCGTGGCGCGAGCGCACTACCTGCCGCGCCGCTCCCGACTGACGCGAACAGCTCGTTAAAAACATTAGAAACCTCATGCGGGTCAGATATTGGTTTATTGTTGATATGCAATTTAATATTTTCATTATATTCTTTTTACCTTAACATGCTTTGTTTTTTCATTTATTATTTTTGATTATTTATATATTCCTATTGGGGAGGTGCTAGAGTCCCTTCAGCGGTGTCAAGTTAATTGTCGGTACCTCGAAGTGCTGAAGTGTTTGTACAGTAGGGCTACTATGGCTATCCGAGTACAGAACCAGAGTACGAAACCTATCCAACTGAGAGGTGTAAGACAAGGTGACATAATATCTCCGAAACTTTCACCTCTGCTTTGGAAGACGTATTAAGCTACTGAACTGGAAAGGATACGGTATTAACGTTAATGGCGAGTACATCACTCGCGTTCGATATAGTCCTTACGGCAGAATCGCTGGAAGACCTAAGCACTATGCATAATGACGTCAATAGTGTCTTCCAATGGATAGGTCTTAAGATGGACATGGACAAAAGTCATGTGTAATGTCCATGTCACAACTATGTCGTTAGTTGTTGACGAGTATGTTTACCTGGGACAAATAGTATGACTAGGTAAGTCCGACTTCGACCGAGAGGTCAATCGACTGATTAAACTAAGCTGGGCTCCGTTTGAGAGATTACGACACATTTTCTCGTCAGGTATGTCTCAAAATCTGAAAACTTGTGGTTGGGGTGTTTCTTGGGACTAAAAACGAGGATATCCGCAGTAGAACCAGAGTAATCGACATAGCCCATTGGATTAGTAAGCTGACGTGGCAATGGGCCGGCCATATATCTCGAAGAACCGACAACCGATGGGAAAGAAAGTTTCTCGAGTGGCAGTCTCGTACCGGCAGCCGAAGTATAGCGTTTCGCCTCACTAGATGAAGTGACGACCTGTTAAGACATGCAGGAAGTCGATGGATGCAGGTGGCTCAGGACCGTGCTCTGTGGCGTTCCTTGAGGGGGGCCTATGTTCAGCAGTGGACTTGTGAAGGGCTGTAATAATAAAATACAACATTTTCTTAACTTTTTTTGGTTTTTTAAACTTAAATATGTGTAGAATGTTTTTCTGATGATGGAGATGCGTGTAAATTATTTTGTTTTAAAAATCACAAATTATATAAATAAAAATAATAATGTAACAACTGGTACTGGACATTATTAGCAATTAATTGAAAAAAAAAAGGAGCCGAATTCGTCTAAGACAGGTTTAGCTTATTATGTTAGGCTCCGTGGCGCAGTGGCTTAGCAATAATTTACAGCGCTAAGGGCCGCGAGTTCGAATCCCGCACGGAACAAGTATTTGTATGGCCTACGAGTATTTGTTCCGGGTCTGGATGTTTGTCCTTGTGCTATTTATATTTGTAAACTGCCACGATATAGGAGAAAATCCTAGCGTGGAGGTGACTTTTTTTTAAAACAATGAAAAAAAATATGAAAAATAGTTTATGGTATCATTCCCTTTAGGCTTTGCACTCATTTTCCAAATACCTTGTATATATTATGGTTGTAGAACAAACGGGTACGTTTGGACTGGGGAAAGACCACGCTTTCATAGAATAACAGCTTAAATAGCAGCTTAATGCTACTGTGTTTCGTATGGTGTGTGTCTATACGGAGAACCGGAGACCGTTTTTACTTGGAATAAGATATTCCATCTTAGTCCCAGGGGTGACAACAAATCAGAATTTTGATGGATAGATAGTAGGTGACTATGGTCCACAGCATCCAATCCTACAATTTAGTATGGTTTGCTAGTTTGTCACCCTTATTCTATAAAAAAAAAAACTGCCAACCGCAGCGCAATAGGTATATCGATTTTTCTTTAACTTTCAAATATTTGCTTCAATTGTCAGATCCTACAAACGGGGCAAGAGATCAACGAAGTGGACAACTCGGGATTCATGACTGGCGCGCCCACAGTATTCGCGGGCAATCTGGGCAACAACAAGTATATGGTTCAAGTCACCACGACCGCCATTAGGCTCATACGAAGTGAGTATCACACTTTTGGCTAAGGGGACAGGATTCAGAATTCTCGGTCCCCCCCATCTTCTCACTATAGTTCAATGTACGAAAACTACATGCTCCCATATCTGTATTTGTACGAAAATACCACTATATAGTTTTTGAAACTAATTTTTTAATAGAATTTGCATGAGGAATGAGCTAACACCTGGACTGTCATGGTTTGAGGTTTACGATGAGTTGCTTCAAATCCTGTATGTTTTATTAAGAATTTAAGTCCCACCAGAAACATAAATCTTAAATGAGGGTCATGTTCGGTATATACGGAAATCGGTGTTGCTGGATACGCCAATAAGAATTGAGATCTAAATAAGTGCCTAGTGCTTTAGCTGTTTTTTAAATTTAGCAATGTACTATGTAATTGGTACCATGCTGGTTCTATAAAAATTCATACAAAAATTGTAACAAATAAATTTATTGTAAATTTAAATACGTTTAAAAAAGTCTCGTTGGGTTTCTTGTTGGTTCTTCCCAGGACAGAGGTTTTCTTGCGAACCACTGGTAAATTAAAAAAAATGACTTTCTATAAGTATTATACAATAATCTATATTGAATAAAAATCATTCATTTCATTTCATTTCAGTAATGTGAATAGTCTTCAATTGATTTAAAATTAAATTGGTTATGTTCCCTGATAATGAAATGGGTTTCTAGACGTGTAAAATTTCAATTATGTAAGTATCTCGAAATTATTCATATTGTATTTATTACACACTGCCTGTACGTCGTCTTTTACTTTAACAACTTGGCTGACACACTGCCGTGTCCCTAGAACTAGCTTGTGTGTGTATAAACATACAAAATATAACTGCTTTACAATCATTAGACTTAAAGAATACCTAGACTTTTACTCAAACTCTTAGATCGAAATACTTATAATTTTGTGCAATATAAATTCTAGTCTACTTTTATCCAATATAAATTCTATATGCAAAATATTTTTAGTTAATATTATTTTTGTAACATAATTTATAACAAAAGATTCAAAAAAAAGACGGACGCCCAACGTGGGGCTCGAACCCACGACCCTGAGATTAAGAGTCTCATGCTCTACCGACTGAGCTAGCCGGGCTATGAGAATGGTAGTGAATTTTGTTAATACAATAATGAGTAATACTTAGTATGATGAAACGATAAAAGCATTTTGATATACAAACCAAGCAATTATAATAAGACGATAACATTTTAAAGTTACATTAAACTGTTAACTACTTAAAAAATTGATTGTGTGGTGAGGTCTTATAAAAATTCATCAGACTCTTTTTACTGGAAACGAGGCATTCCATATTAGTCCTCAGGGATGACAAAACATCTGCGTTTTGATTCTTAATCGAGGATAAATGTAGATGTCTATGGACCAAAGCATCCACTTACCATCAGGTTGACTGGGTGCTCGTCAGTCACACTTATTCTATAAAAAAATCATCTTATTTAGTCCCGGTGTTGTCGGTAGGAATAAAATAAAGGTAGAATAGCATTTATTTATATAAAATATTGAATTAGAGTCAACAATGGGAAGGATTTCCCAATGATATCCGTAGTAAAACCAAATTAACTGACATAGCCCAATGCACGGATGTAGGTTCTTACATGGTGGAGCCATGCTGCAGCTATGTTGTTGTTGCAACACGATTGGGACGGCTTGACTTGGGTAGGATCACGCTCTCACAGAATACTAGTAAAATAGCAGCGTAATACGTCTCGTCGTATGTGGAGAACTGGAGACCCTTTTTACTAGAAACGAGGCATTCCATCTCAGTTCACAGGGCTGGCAACGCATCTGCATTTTGATTCTTAATTGAAGATAAATGTAGATGTCTGTGGGCCACAGCATCCATTTACCATCAGGTCAGCTGTGTGCTCGTTTGTCACCCTTATTCTATAAAAAAAGGTGGCGCAAGACCGTACTTTGTGGTATTACTTATGGATGTTCAGGAGTGGATTTTGGAAGTGCTGTTATTAAAGTCAAAACTATTTGGGGAGGCATCAAAGTTTGGTATCGAAAAGACCTGAAAGAAGAACCGTTAAGAAATTTATTATGTAGTGAAAACTTCTTTACCTTCGTTGTGATATGAGACTCGATGAAATTTAAAAGCTCCACTAACAAAATAAACACATATAGCTCGTGCGGAAAAAGAATGGGATTAAAAACGGCGACTCATCGAGCCCATACCGTCAACATGCACAGTACTAATAGCAAAAACCCGTTAATAATGGTATAACGTTATACTATTCGATTAATTGTAAATTTTCTTTTAACGGACAGATATTAAAAAAAGAATTGTAAACGTAGGTAAGTACATTAATTTTAAAATTAGCGAAACCGAACTGATTTTTTTGTAGTTTTCGACATTTTGTTATCATTGATTCCAATGAAAAGTTGGACTGAAGTTATAGTACTTACGGAAAACGCATATCGCAACGTGGTTTTTTTTGCAGTCTTTATCGGCGGGTGTGAGACGAGTCTGTGAGCGAGAGGTGATTAGAGAGGACATCATTTTCAATCCCATCCTTTAACCGCACGAATAGTACATCTATAGGATTTGAGTAGAGATAGAATACAGTATACAGTGTATCGTACGTGTTAAGTCCAGCTAGCGTCTATTTTACGTACCGCCTTTAGAGCCAATCAATTTTTGTTGGATAATATGTATATATAACTATAGAATAAAGTAGATGGCGCTATTAAAAAGCAATTTTACTCGTAATTTTCTGAAGGTTTTACTTCTACCGCGTCGGAACTGTACACATGTTTTTATTTTTAATGCCATGTTACAATATCTTTTACTATTTATTATAAAATAATACAATGTTCCCAAAATACTATGAAGATTTTTGGAATGTCCGTTTCCACAAAATAATATCAGTAGGCAGTGGCCTTGCAAGTGCAAAGTATATAAGAGTTATTTACACATCATTGTCCTCAATATCTTGATTTATTTTATAGATGTTTTCAACAAAATTTTAGAAGTTTTTGAAATGAGATTAACTTGATTTCATACAACTTTGGGCCCGGCGTGAACAAAGTACAAATATGTCTTATTTTGAAGATTTAAACATTTGCTACAAATGTCTAAAAACTCATATTTTTGCAGGACTTGAGGTTTTTTATTTTATGTTATGTGATTTGTAGGTTATGTAGTTAAATAAATCGTTCTTGTGATAAGTTGATTGAAAATAATACAAAAAATGCAGTTTTGTAGTTATTATTAAATATAGTAAAATAAAACTCAACCCTTTTCAATTGTTTAAATATTTTCTGCAATTATTAATAAAATGTTATCTAGAAAAGCAGCCGGAGGCTCTACATTGTCTGTTTTATTGATCTCAAAACTTAAGTACCACATTATTGTAATTATGTGGGCGCAACAACCTACTGTCCCGTAATCCGAGAGAAAAGCCAAGGGTTAAGTTAAATAAATCGACGCAAGTAAAAACACGAAACCTAGCGACAAAGACAGCCACAATGTTAAACGCGCTTGACAAGTTGAAACTCGAAGTTAACAAGTTAAGTCTTCTTTGGAACAGGCAATGCTGAATGACCATACCGCCTATTTAGTCGTGTTAAATAATATTCTAATGTTTTTTTTTAGTTCAATAACATAGGTTATTCAATCATTTTACTTAAATCGGATATTTCTTTTATTCTATATTAATCCCTACAAATTCACCTCAATGTTTATCAATATCATGATACTATTTTCTTATAAAAATTGTCTTCATTATCTATTGCCATAGACAAAATATAGAAAAATATTTAAAAACGTTTATTTTTACTATAGTAAAAGCGTTAGCTTTCGTTTTTCAGTTTAAAAATGTTTTTATGACTGTCCCATGTATTACAGAAATAAAAAAAAACATTATGCTTAATTTATCGTTTTATTACCTACATATTTTGACATCTACTTGACAGATACTTGACATCGTTCGTAACAGTTATCTGTTACGAACGATGTCAAGTATCCGATTTCACTTATCTCCTTTATGACTGATTGGTATTCTATAGGTCTATAGTTTTAGAGATTTTTACCTGAATTCTACCAACAACACTGCAAATATTTAGATGACATCGTAGTTGTTACTTTGAGCTTGTGATTTTCTTAGTTTCATTTAAAAGGATTAAAAAATTAAATTATTAATAAATGTAAATATGTATATTCCAAAAATTTGAAATAATTTTTCCTCCAAACATCCTGTATACTATAACTAAATAGCCACTACAATATTTTGTTATTCTTTATAGAAACGAGCGAAATACCTTCTTACTCTAAATAATACTAGAATGTTTGCGATCGAACGACAGCGAACTGCAGTGTGCTGAAAAATCTATATAGGTTTATGTTGCACTGTATTATGAACTTTGTTCAGTATGATTTTTTTGTTGTAAAAAAAAATTTGAGTGGTAGTTAGGTGTAAGCGCTCACTGTAAATGTCACAGTAATCGAGTGTAACGGTAATCCGGTTTTGAACCCCGCCGGCACCAATGAAATTGTAGTTACAATTTTAATTCGATCAGATTTTGTGTTGTTTACCATGTGCTCTACGGTAAAGGAAATCATCATGAGGTAACCTGTAAATTGATTAAAACTACTTTTACTGATTTTATCGCGTTTAATTTTAACTATTTTTCATTCCCGACGTTTCGGGTGCTTTCCAGCACCCATGGTCACGGGGGACTGAGATGACTGACATCCCGATGTCATTGTTAAACCCGGAGTACCATCACCTTTTTTAATTATTGTTTATGGCCCGATCTATGCAAAATGAACTGACTGTGTTTGAAGTCTTGCAGTGGTATGCTTGAGTTTTAGTTTTTAATTTAATTGATTATAGGAACCCAAGCAGGTGGTAGTACCCAGCCTCCTTTTCTATTGAAATTAGATTTTTTTTAATTTCAATAGCCTCACGTATTCGCATATTCACTTATGTTCGCGTAAATAGGGGGGGGGGGGGGGGCTTTTTTTTTTTTTTTTTTTTCTTTTTCTGGGGGGGGGGGGGGGGGGTAAGAAATCATTATGTAACATGTATATATTGAAAATTAAAAAAAATATATTTCGAAGATATGTGAAGTTTACCAATACTTAGCAGCGCGGCGGACTTTTCCTAGCCCTAAAACCTTCTCAGAAATGAGATGAGGCCTGTATCTAGGAGAGGGACGTAGTAGGCTGCAACTTTAAAAGTCGACTTTAAAGAACTAAAAAAAATTTCTTCATAATAGCTTCTGAAGTCAAAGTCATTCTATATGATATGTCTTAGCATCGACTTCTGTAGCTGTTATGATCAAATCATTTTTATTGTTTCTGAAGCTAGCTGCAGGTGTCTGTGGAGTGCAGTAGCTTCTACCATCAGGTATTCAAGACTGTGTTCGTTAGTTCAGTTTTATAAAGAAAACTGGTAAGTGTTGTACGTGGGTTGCAGATGGGGTGCAGCTGCAGTCGATCCAGCTGGAGTGGACGGCGAGTGCGGGCGCGGTGGCGGACCCGTACGTGTGCGTGCAGTCCACGTGCGGCCGGGCTCTTGTGCTCGCGCTGCGGGAACTACGCCCCCGGGACCCCATGGTCAGCCTTGTACCACTGTTACTTTTACCGTTACAACCTATCAAACTCCACCCATGTACATATTTCCATAAGTTGCATCTTAGAGTGATATTTGCCATAGTTGCCACGTATGGCAATACCTTTATGCTCGTTCGTCACCCTTATTTTATAAAAAACATGCGTTAGAGCCCGCGGTCTCAAACTCACTTAATCTGTGCCACAAAAATACACTTTAGTGCTAGTGTTACCAACTCGAATTTTTCGTATATTTATTAATACGTAGATTGGTATTAAAAAATCTGCAGAATTCTCCGTAGAATAATAAAATATCCGAAAATGTCCGGCTAAGTTCACACTCATAATTGAAAAAAGAATTAGTTTTTTAAAAATATAATTATAATGAAATGACTGTAGCATAAAAAAGACAATTAACAGCGAAATCAAATTCCGTAGATTGCAACTCAAACTCCGTACCTCCGTAGACGATGAAAAAATTCCGTAGATTTACGAAAATATCCGTAGAGTTGGCAATGCTGCTGTGTGCCTCCTACCAAAGTATATTAAATTCATACAGTATCTCGTGGTAAATGCCGACAACGTCTAGACAGCGCATGTAGGCTAGGATTGTCACAAATTAACAACTTTTACTAATTTCATTATTTATTTTAGATCTACATCGTCATCATGTATGATTACTAATATAAGGAAGAAGTTACAATTTGTTCTTACATTTTTCCTGAAAGTACTCCAAACGCTTATTGCATGCCTCACAACGTGAATGAGGGCTCTACTCTCTATATGTGGCTATACCGCAATTTCACTATATAAAATCGTTCTCTAATTTTAGCTACACATAAAATCCATATTGTTATTAACGTTATAATGACTACAGACATTGAATTATAAGACTACTTTATTTTCTAATTGATTCACTTAATATTACATAATAAAATATGTAATTGAAATAAATTGTGTCCACCATCTTGGATTTGAATATATGTGCTATTTTCGTAATCAACACCCCAAGAAACCTCGAAATTCATACCCATATTATATTATTAAACAAAATGGCCGCTATCTTGGATATGAAAATAGGTGTTGTTTTCGTAATCATCACCCCAATAAACTTCTAAATTGATATCAATAACATTAACAAAAGCATGTTCACCATCTTGGATCTAAGAACTGATACCGTTTTCGTAATTAACACCCCGAGAAACCTCGAAATTGACATCCATATCATACATATATTAAAAAATGACCGCCATTTTGGATTTAAAAATAAATGCTATTTTCGTAATTAGCACCTCGACAAACCTAAAAATGGACCACTAAACCTAATTTATTTATAAAAAACTTCGAAATACCGAAGACGAGGCACTTTAGTATGGTCTAAGATCTCAGCCTGTCCAACCTCACGATTTAAATGAAGAAAAAAAATCAAACTTCGAAACACGTGCCCAGCCACTAGCACCCTTTTGTTACGTCCGCCTTTTTTTACGTTGGCAATTAGGCATGGCATAACAAAATATACACAGTGCAAAATAATAATAAAAATATTTATTTAGCTTTCTTCGGTGTGCGGAATTTGGTGAAACCGCAGATTTTTATTTATGCGAGATGACGACTTGCAATCTTTCACAGCACACGTAAGCACCATTTTAATTATTGGTACCTACACTAAATTTTCAATAATAAAAGCAAACACGCGTTAACCCTGGAAGTCGTGTCCCGAGTTGCTAATACAATTGGCATAAGCAACTCGGGATCGTCCTTCCCGCGTCTCGCCCCGCGCGCCCCGCATGTTTGCCCTGTCTAGACGTCCTCGTCGGACTACTGTATGAATTTATATACTGTGCTCTTACAAATTTTTTTAAAAAAAAATAAACGTCTTTATTTGAAGCTACATTATAAATAATTGGTTCAAATTAATATTATGCTACATTAATGAAGCAACAAATAGACATCCGACTGAGCATTGTGCCACGGTATAATAACTACAACGCTGATATTCTGCCAGTGCCGTTTCTAAAAGCTCACGAGCAATGACAATTTTCATTATTAAAAAAAAATATATACCGTGTAGTGGCAGTAAGAATATCTAAGTGGGTGTCGTAAGATGTAGTGGAGGGAAACATATCGGAAGATGAGGAACAGCGTCTTCCAAATAACTTAAAAAACTGCGGTTGGTAACCAAGTGTGGCATTTAGGAGAATATCTGTTTTATGAAGCAATCTATGGAAGAGTTGACAACCTATGGTTCACCAGTGCACTTTAAAAACCTATATCGGTCAAGTTATAAACAATAAATATAAAATTCGCCTGGACTTGCCACTTAACTTTTCTAGCTTTTTTTTGAATCAGTGGTAAAATAAAAAGTGACTTAATAAAGTATTATTTAGTAATGAAATTTGAATAAAAAAATTGTTTTTAATTTTACTTAGTTTAAAAAAATGTTTGTCAGAAGTTGAATGTAGATTATATTAATTTAACGATATTAAGAATAATCACTACCCCATATCTTCCCGTGGGTGTCGTAAGAGGCGACAGAGGGAGACAGGCAGGAGATGGGCAGTGGCATCTTCCTGATAACAGCAACTAACTGTACGTGAAAAAAGACTGCGGTTGCCAACCCGCTCGCCAAGCGTGGCAACTATGGCAATATACCCCCCATGAACAATTACACAAATAGACGGCCCCCAGTCCCCGGCGGCCCCGCTATTGCTGGCTACGGTGGCGACCATGGTAACGGCGGGGCAGGGGGTGCTAAGAATCTCCGTTGGAGGTTCGGTTGCCACCTACGACGACTCGACCTGGCAACATTTAACGCACGCACCCTGAGGACTGACGAGAAGATCCTGGAGCTGGAAGAAGAGATAGACAAGTTGCGCTGGAATATTGTGGGATTATCCAAGGTCCGAATAGAGGTGGAGGACACGGTGATTCTCGAATCCGGCAACTTGTTCTATCACCGGGAGGGCGACCATCTGTCCCAAGGAGGTGTCGGATTTATAGTCCACAAGTTTCTCGTCAACAACGTTGAGTGTGTCGACGAGGGTCGCGTACCTGATACTCAGAATCACCAAACGGTATTCGCTGAAGGTCATACAGGTTTACGCACCAACCTCGGCACATCCCGATGAGGAGGTGGAGGAAATGTATGAGGATATTTCCAAAGCCATGCATTCCTCCAAAACTCTCACGGTGTTGATGAGAGACTTGAACGCAAAACTAGGCACAAGAGAAAACGGTGAGCTGTTGAAATTTGGAGTAGGGCAACGGAATCGAAGAAGCCAGCAGCTGGCCGGCTTTGTGGAGAAAGGGGGACTCTTTATGATGAACTCTTTCTTCCAGAAGCGGCCTCGCAGGAAGTTGACCTGGTCGAGCCCCGACGGTTCGACAAAAAATGTGATTGACTTCATTATGACGACCAGACGCCAACTGTTCAGTGATGTCTCAGTGATCGCAAGGGTGAAAAGTGGCAGCGATCACCGAGTGGTTAGAGGCACACTGAACCTAAACGTTAAGTTGGAGAGGTCTCGTCTAATAAAGTCAACGCTCCGTCCCCCTTGTGCTCTGATCCAGAACTCAGAAACATTTCAGCTCGAGTTACGTAACCGCTTTCAGTGCATACAAGATTGCAATGCAGTGGACGATATGAATGACAAGCTCGTGGAATCTGTCCATACAGTCGGAGCTAAATTCTGCAAGACCCGCCGCAGAAGAACACAAAAACTCTCCGATCACACTCTTAATCTCATGGCTGTTAGACGGGAGATGAGACTGCAATCGTCAACAGATGTGACAGCATACAGGCAACTGAAGCCAGACAGATCTCCAAATGCATGCGGCGAGACTTACGCAACTTTTATACTGCTCGTATTAAAGAAGCGATCGAACGGAACCAGGGCTCCAAAGTCTTTGCCAGAGATCTGTCTGCCAGTAAGAGCCAACTGTCAAAGCTGAAGACTGAGTGTGGCAGCATCGTTTCCGGGACACCTGAGATTTGAGTGAGATTGAGATGTTCTATGGGCAGCTGTACACATCATCGTTGGAGCCACACGCAAGTGTGAGTAACGATCCAAGAGCAAGTCTTATCCGACACTATTTCGATGTCCCGGACGTCAGTCTAAGCGAGATTAGAATGGCTCGCCAGCACCTTAAAAACGGCAGGGCCCCAGGCGAGGATGGAATTACAGCGGAGCTTCTGAAAGCTGGTGGAACACCGGTACTTGAAGTCCTTTAGAAGTTCTTCAATTCCGTCCTCCATGGTGGCACTACTCCAGAGACGTAGAGCAGAAGTGCGGTGGTCTTGTTCTTTAAGAAAGGCGACAACGCTCTCTTGAAGAACTACAGACCGATTTCCCTTCTGAGCGTGCTGTTTTCGAGAGTCATTACGAATCGTTTCGCACGCAGACTCAACGACTTCTAGCCTTCCGAACAAGCTGGTTTCCGAAAAGGCTTCAGTACCATAGACCACATACATACCCTGCGGCAGATTGTACAGAAGACCGAAGAGTACAATCTGCAACTTTTCCTGGCGTAGGTGGACTATGAGAAAGCCTTTGATTCTGTCGAAATTTGGGCGGTGCTACAGTCTCTTCAGCTTCAGTTGACTGTCGATATATCGAAGTGCTGAAGTGTTTGTACAGTAGTGCTACGATGGCTATCCGAGTACAGAACCAGAGCTCGAAACCTACCAACTGCAGAGAGGTGTAAGACGGGGTGACCTTATATGCCCGAAACTCTTCACCGCTGCATTGGAAGACGTTTTCAAGCTACTGGACTGGAAAGGATACGGTATTAACATCAATGGCGAGTACATCACTCACCTTCGATTTGCCGACGATATAGTCCTTATGGCAGAATCGCTGGAGGACTTAAGTACTATGCTCAATGACCTCAATAGTGCCTCCCAACGGTTTAGTGGTAATATCCTATGTACCTGGACAAATACAACAACGGATTCACGGCTGGCACTCGAGAAATTACGACATATCTTCTCGTCAGGTATACCTCAATCTCTAAAAACTAGATTGTATAACCAGTGCGTGTTGCCAGTGATGACTTACGGATCTGAGACGTGGTCCTTCACTGCTGGCCGTATGCTCGGAGTTTCTCTGCGTGATATACTCAGAAATGAGGATATCCGCAGTAAAACCAGAGTGACCGACATAGCCCAACGGATTAGTAAGCTGAAGTGGCAATGGGCCGGCCATATAGCTCGAAGAACCGATAACCGATGGGGAAGAAAGGTTCTCGAGTGGCGGCCTCGTACCGGTAGCCGTAGTGTAGGGCGACCCCCCACTAGATGGAGTGACGACCTGGTAAGATATTTGCAGGAAGTCGATGGATGCAGGTGGCTCAGCACCGTGCTTTGTGGAATTACTTGGGGGAGGCCTATGTTCAGCAGTGCACTTGTGAAGGGCTGTAATGATGATGATGATGATGATGATGATATTAAGGCTGTTTTACACGAATAAATTAGTAAAGTAATCAACTCCTTTATTCTTAGTCCTTGGTCCTTCGAGCCGGACGTAAAGGAAGTTAGTAACTTATGATTTTTTTCCGATCAGTTGTCATTTCGTAGAACCATTGTCACTTCAGCTCACTAATCCGTTTGACCACTTAATACTTGTAAATCTGTTATTACGTTATATTCGAATGTGTGCGTTTTGTTCTGCAGTCAGCACGCTTGGCTCCAACTCGTCAAGGCGTTCCAGCCCGCCCGGCTTTAGTGAGAGCGATGCCATACCGTGACCTGAGTGGATTATTTACTTCTACCGACTTGGAAAATGTTCAAGTAAGTTTTAAATTGACATATATCATAATTGTTATAAACACTCACGCCTGTCACCCAGATGGGTAGGCAGAGACTACAGACTTTCATTTGGCACGATCCTGATACACCTCTCTCGCCTTCTTTACTATAATATGTCTATGCATATGGTTAAGGGTAATTTTAATCTGGCCTATCTTCAATATATCGCTAATTTGGTCGATAAACTTTCTTTGACCGCGTCTGTTGCCGGCTCTACCGTTCACTTCTGCAACATAAATTTGCTTTGTCACTCTTTCCTCATTCATTCTGCATGACGAAACTACGGAAGCATTTCTTTCTTAAGCATGATTACAACAAATTGAAATATAATTTATTAAAAATGATTTTTGTTTAGAATATTATTTACAGATCGTTTTCAATGTGTCGTGAGTATATTTCAGCGTCAGCGGTGTAAACAGCTTGCTAATATCATTGTATAACGAATTTTAATTTGTGATTTTTACATGTTAAAGTTGTTAGAACTTAATTTGCTTATCTCTTGCTCAGCGTATTAATGACGAAACAGACCTTCAAAAGCTGGAAATATTGGAATCTCGTCAGTGACTACGCTTGAACAAAATTATCTCAATTTTATTGTACTATTTTTACTTTAAATTTAATTTTTTGTCACTATATTATTTTAATTGTAAGTCCAAATTGCGCTTTGTACATACACAATACAAAATTTGCCTACGCGACACTACACAAATAACATTTAATTGTTTACACAATAATACACATTTACACTATTACCAAACACTACATATTATATTTGCAATGGTAACCTACACTATTACAATAAAACACACAACACATATATTTTCACAACTACAAAACAAATTACACAGTGATCATTTTTATTTATTATAGTATAATTTTAATGTTTACACAAATTATAATTAATTTTATATTTTTATATATCTTGTATTCAAAAATGAACTTTGAACAAAAACTAGGATGTATATCAGTACTGCATTCTAAGATTCGATATTATTTGATTTATATTTTATAAGACACATCATATCATTTTGGCCGTGAAACTTCTTTTTATTCTACATGGATGATATATTATTATTTGAGGATATTGACACTTCGGGTGATATCAAATGTACCTACGTTGATGATCCAACCAATTGTAAAAGTTATTTGGACCTAACTGAAAAAAGGCAATCCATTTTCAATCCTATGTGTAAATATACGCAGTATAAATTGTAACTTCGATAGTTTCTTAGTGTTTTTATCTCGGTTAGATGTAATAATTGATATTCTGGTATTCACTGAATGCTGGATCCATGAAGACTCACACATACCAATAATCAATAATTGTGAAGCTTTCAGCACTAAGCATACTTTCAATCAAAATGATGGTGTAATTTAATAAAACGTTAGGAATATTTTTCAGAATATTGAAGTCTTTGAACCTGGTATAGAAGAAGGTAATTGTCTAATTGTAAAAATAGATCGTCAATACACAGTCATTGGTACATATAGACCACGAAGTTTTAAAAATGTTAGTCCATACCTAAACTCCATCGACTGCATATTGCGTGACATAAAAACTAAGCATATTGTTTTCACAGGTGATACTAACCTTGATATTAAGTCAAATAGTCCAACATGCTACACCATTGACTATCTAAACATCGTGGCTTCCTATGGATTACGTCCTGGAATAAGTGTTCCGACAAGAGATGGTACCTGCCTAGATCATTTTATGGTTAAAACAGGTCTTCGAGCACAAACCCTTGTATTCGAACACTTTACGGACCATGCTCCAATACTATTATGTTTAGAAGCATCGTCAATTGGGAAGTGCGATAGAAGCATTTATTTAACTAAGACTATTATGAACTTTGACAAAATGGAAGAGAGACTTAAATCTATTAACTGGTCTGAGTTTTATTATTTACAATCAGCTAATGATGCGGCTCAGTACTTAATCACATTATTGCAGAAAATGGAGAAGATAACAAGGTTACAATATTAAACTTTTAAGTACGTAGGTAAAATGTCTAGACCAAACACATAGTTCTAGTTTTTATTTCACATCGATCGGTGCACTATTACCGAAGTTATAAGCGTGGAAAGTTTACGTACATTTTTAAAATCTCGCCCGTGCCCGCGAGTAACGCGTGACGTCATAGATTCCATGCGGCCGCGCCGCCATACCGTTCCAGCGCGCCGATCATACGTTTGTAGTCATTGAATTAATATATAAATCAATGTTTGTAGTAATATTTCGCGGGTGAGTTGTTTGCCGTCGTGCGCTCTGGTGTTTTTAAGTATTTAATGATGGAAGAAGGGTTTCAAAAGGTCAATCTGACAACCTTCCAATAGTGGCGGAATATTTTCTAAGAAACAAAGATTTTGTCGCGGCTGAAATACGCATAAGATAATATTTTGTAACCTAGGTACCCATTGTTACATTAATACTTCTGGGTTTCATTTGCTAATGATAAGAATAAGTATAACAAAAATACGTAAACATTCCTTACCTACCTACTTACTATCTGCCTCTAACTAGTTTTGTTTTCTTATTCTTCTTAAGTGCACCCTGACCTTTTTGTGGTTTTTATGGTTAAAAAAATCCTGTTGTATATAAAGAAATTTATTACAAATATACCTTCGGTGTATAAAAATATGATTTTATCTAAAAATCAGATGTTTTCAATATTAATAGAAAAAGGGTCGCATTATTATTATGTTTAAAAGCGTAGTTATATATTCTTCTGGCAAGGGATCAATTTCAATATTATCATCTAGAGTAGTAACAGGATCGACAACATATCTATGCTCAATTTCTTGTGAAGTAGTGGCAATCGCATGTGCAACTGTTTCTGACCTAGATTTGGCATTTAGTTTTGATAAAAATCTTTGTGGTTTTTCTGTATACCGATTTTGACAAGCAAACTTGTGAGGCAAAACAACTTTTTTAAGTTTGTACTTCACGTAGTTTTCCATATCGTTTTCGACCTAGAACAAAATACAAACTTATTTAAAATCTATAAAAAAATAAGGAACCTCGTAATTTGTATTCCATCAATATTTAAAATATGTACCAACTATGTAATACATAAAAATAGGACAACATGAAAAAAAAATTTACGTGCTCCACTTCATAATCAAACTTCTTCAATCATTTGCGGCCCGCAAAGTATGCAGATTGAACAGCTCTGCGATGTTTTTAGTTTTTGCTCGAATTTTTGCTCGTAAAAATATAAAAACGTTTGTTAACAAATTCCATATTTTAACCTTTATATTAATGCATTATAAACATTTTAAAATTTGCTGCAAACATAGGTAGGTATCTAAACTTACGAACTCACGACAGGTCATTGACTTATCTACATTACATAGGTACGTACTTTACCCAAGTTTGGATGTTTATTTACACTGAAGTAGTTTTAGTTAAATATGTAGGTATTAGGTATTCTTTCTTCTTGAAATTATAATGATCATTAAGCGTAGAAAGCTTCAATGAATCGTTAGTTACTTAAACACTGCGACTCGAGTAGGTACCAACATGCCTAATAGAAATCATTTACTACCAATAACCAAGAGCTATCATGTGAAGATTATTATTATTTGAATACTTACATCGAAATTATCACAAACAACAATATACTACCGTGTTTGGTCCTAAAGGATGTGCTCTTCTCATAGCATTTGTTCATTTATTTCTGAGGGTAGGGTTTCTAGGCACATTAAAAAACAACTCTTCAGGTGTTTTGTGGCCGTATTTTTACATTGAGACACAGCACAATGTTTAATAGATGGTGTCATGTTCTATAATATTTCTTGATAAAAATATATAGCAAGTAAATCTGCGCGCGACGGGCACATTCGAGTAAATCTCGTAAAAAGTACTATCTCTCGCACGAAGATGGAAATTGTGACGTCATCAACGATGTCGCTCTCGGCCCGCGGCTTAGACCGAAAATGTTAACTTTATGCCTTTATATCTCGATAAGTTTTGAAGATAGAAAAAAATTGAAAACACGGTTATTCTCGTAATTTTTTGTAGATTTTTTTGGCATATAAAACAAAATGGTTATCTTCTCCATTATTACAATAAACACAGAAACTAAAAAAAATCCCAATAGAAATAGGCCATTAAAACCCTGGATCACCACTGGTGTTGTAAGATCTATACGTAAGCGAGATAAAATTCATAAAAGACTTAAAAATAATATAAATGACGAAGACCTTAAAAAACTACTATATACGGTATAGAAATATTTGTAACAAGATTGTAAAAACATTAAAATGTAACTATTACCAATCTCAACTCGAAAAACATGCAAGAAACAGCAAAGAAACATGGAAAGCCATTAAAGAATTGTGTAATCTGAATAAACCAAAATCGAAATCTATAGAACTATTAAGAATCAAAGAAAATTCAACTGACTCCCTTAATGAGGTTAATAAGTACTTTACATCGATTGGTAAAATCCTTGCTAACGAGACTCTTAATAAATTAAATAAAAGCGAGGCAGATTTAACACGAGAAGCAACTAATAACAATAGTCCTAAAAACTCCATGCTACTGTTACTAACTGACCCAGTGGAAGTAAGATGCGTGATATTGAATCTTAAGAATAATAGTACTGCAGGTCATGATCAAATTCCTACAAGAATGTTAAAAATATTTCATAGTATTCTAGCGGAGCCAATATCGCATCTATGTAATCTTAGTTTCACATCAGGAGTTTTCCCTGAGATATTTAAGAAAGCCAGTGTGTCGCCTATTCATAAGGCAGTTGATAAAACCCTTGCTTGTAACTACCGACCTATAGCTTTATTAAGTGTCATGTCCAAATTTTTAGAAAAGGTTGTTAACAAGAGGCTAATTGGTTATCTAGAATCCAATGAGTTACTATCTCCCAATCAATATGGCTTTAGAACCTGTAAGTCAACGGAAGACTGTATACTAAACGTGACCTCACAAGTAAATAAGTACGTAGATGAGGGTGACAGATGTGTAGGTGTTTTTATTGACCTACAAAAGGCATTTGACACAGTGTCAACGTCGATTCTTTTGCGGAGGTTGGAAAACTTGGGTATAAGAGGGACTGCACTGCAATGGTTTCAAAGTTATTTATGTGACAGAAAGCAGTGCGTTAGAGTGGATGGACATTCCAGTAATGACATGCGATGTACATACGGTGTCCCACAGGGCAGTACTCTCGGACCGACATTATTTTTAACTTACGTAAATGACATGACTAAAATTGAATTAAATGCCGGTAATATAACTATGTATGCTGACGATACCGTAATAATATTTCATGCAAAGAGCTGAGGCGACAACAAGTTGCTGAGGCGGGACTGGCCAAATTTTCTTGTTGGCTAGAAAATAATCTACTTTCACTAAACACAACCAAAACAAAATTAATCTGTTTCAGCAAAACTCTAGCGGGTCAACCAAATGACAAATTTAAATTAAAGATTCATACAAGCCCATGTAACAAACTTGATGATGTTCCAATATCTTGTAACTGCCCTTACATAACTAAAACTAACACAATAAAATATTTGGGAATTATAATTGATGAAAAGCTTCAGTGGAAACATCAAATAATATCACTTAGTAAAAAAATAAGAAAGCTTGTCTATGTTTTTAAGTTACCAAGGCTTGTAGCAAGTCCAAAGTTATTGTTGCAAACTTACAAGACTCTGTGAATCTTTAATATGTTACGGTATCTGTTCATGGGGCGGGGCTTCTAAGACAATTCTTGTCGAAGCTGAACGTGCCCAACGATGAATTTTAAAAGTAATGCTATTGCTTCCATTTCGTTATCCAACTACACTAGTGTATGAAAAAGCCCGAGTACTAAGCGTAAGAAAACTTTTCATCTATCAATGCATACGAAGGTACCATCGTATAACTGCACCATGTATCAAAATTGCAAAGAAAAGGACATTCAAATACCCGACCCCTAGAACAAGAAGTATTTTTGCGAAAAGACACTATAGTTACATTGCTCCGCATTTGTACAATAAGTTATACAAGGAATTTAAATTAAACTTAAATAATTACAGCAACCACCAAATAAAGGCAATGATCAGAGTGTGGTTAGAGAATCATGATTATGACAGCACAGAAGCACTTATGCCGTAGGTTTACCACAAGCAATACTCACACACATATATTCCAAAGCACACACACCCACTCACACACTTAGACACACACCAACACACTCACACATACACACATGCGCACACACACACGCATACACACACACACACACACACACACACACACACACACACACACACACACACACACACACACACACACACAAACAAGAGCTTAAAATAACATTCTTTTTATTTCTTATTTATATTTCTGTACTTGTTTAACTTACTAAATATCTAAATTATTATTATTATTATATAGAAATTGACCTTTTGACAAGGCTAAATTTAAGGGGGAGGAACTGGTTCCTGAAACACAGTTATACTAGCTCAGGTACCAGGGAATCAATGAATATATGTAAAAAAGGTTGTTATTAAATAAATAAATAATTTCCGTGTAATGAAATAAAATGATGTGTCTTGCCCAGTTTGAAGAGCACCTTCCACCGCGTGTCGTTTCTAGTGTGGTGTTTATGGGAGTAGTGGTGAAGGATTCGTGGTGACAGGGATAGTGCATGCAGTGTAGAGAAGGTATTATATGCTCTTCAAACTGGCCAGGACACATAATTTTATTTCATTATGCGGGAATAAGCAAATTAAGTTCTAACAACTTCAAGTTAATGAACATCCGCAAAGTTCATTCTATTAATTATTTTGTTTAAACCAAACTAAATTATAGTGGCGGTATAATCGTGTAGTGCCGGTGTAAGGATATCCACTAGCCCGTTACGTGCTGTGGTTGTCGTAAGAGATGACAGAGATAAACTGAAACGGGAGATGGGCAGCAGCATCTTCAAAAACTGAACATGATAGTGGTACAAGAAAATAGAAAGAGATAGATATAATTTTAGCGCAACAAAGCGAAACACATCGAAGCCTAAATCGCGCTATCAAAGTTCCGAAGTAAAACAGTATAATATAGAATAGCTCCGAACTGTCACACGGAGCGTTGGCCTCTCCCCGGACAGAACACCTTGCCCGGCGGGAGATTTCCCCTTTTCCTTTCATAACCTCATAATAATTCTTTATGGTTAAACGATAATCAACGATTATTAGTGAGACCGTTTATTTTTTTTCATTCATTTCTAGGTAAAAGGTGAATTCACCGGCAAAATGAAGGGCAAGAATGTGAAAGCGGAAGGCTTCAAGCCTGGCGCCGTATACGAGCTCAATGATGAAGACGAGCTTCTGTATGGCGGAGACCAGACACCAGCTTCTATGGCCAGTGTGAGTGTTAAACTTAGGTTAATAATTACTTGGATCCGAGAGCTAAGGTCGTAATGACGCAAATACAGTTTGAATACCGATGGGAAGATTCTCGAGTGAGTCTCGTATTGGTAAGCGAAGTGTATGGCAAACGTTCACTAGATGGCGTGACGACCTTGTAAGAGATGTAGGAATCTAATAGATACAGGTGGCTGAGAACCGTGCTTTGTGGTATTTCTTGGAGGAAACCTACTTATATTCAGCTCTGGATTAGTTAGGCTGCATTAGGTTGGATGACAAAAATTACATAGTTTTAAAACGTTAGTATATTTAAAAAAAAACAAAGAAAGTATAGAGGTATACATAATGAGTTACATTTTAGACAATGATAATAGAGATTAGTTTCGCTAAGTCGGTTACTCTAATAGAAGTGGAATGATGTAGCTCGAAGAACCGACAACCAATGGCAAATAAAGGTTTCGAGGGATAGTTTTGTATTCCTAAGCGATGTGACGGGCCCATAGATAGAGTGACGTCCTGGTAAGAAGTGCAGGAAGTCGATGGATGCAGGTAGGCTCAGTACTATGCTTTGTGACATTCCTTGGGGGCGGATGATAGTAGATGTTGATGTAAGAGATAATGATAAAGAGATAAATATTATGAAATACTTTACAGATAATGTTGGCGGAGCAATCGAAGAACCCTGGTGTGCCACGGCGTATGTCCCGCTGGTGGAAGCGTTATTTGAACGAAGTTAAGCCAACGTTCTGGCTTTTCGTCGTCCGCGATAACGGCAACCTGGAGATATACTCTTTACCTGAGATGAGGCTCAGCTTCCTCGTGAGAGACATCTGCGCTGGGCACAGGGTGAGTGTTCAGATCGAGCTTTGTATACAATGAGGGCTAATTATTTTACGCTCGTGGTACATGGTAGAGCCACGCTGCAGCTATATTATGGTTGAAGTACGAAAGGGTCGGCTTGACCGGGGAAGGACCACGCTCTCACAGAATACCAGCGTAAAATAGCAGCTTAATGCTGCTGTATTTCGTATGGTGTGTGTAGAGAACCGGAGACTTTACTGGAAACGAGGCACTCTATCTTAGTCCTTAGGGGTGACAACGCATCAGCGTTTTGATTCTTAATCGACGATAAATGTAGATGTTTATGGGCCCCAACATCCACTTACGAGGGCGGCACTGAAAATTTCGGGAATCAAGGAAGTGACACAACATTACTATTTAAAAATGTATTTATTGCTTTTCGAAGTATTCTCCGCGAAATTTGACACATTTTTCCATACGATGGAACCAATCATTGAAGCAACCATTCCATTCGGAAGTTGGGGTCTCCAAAATGTCCGTTTTGTAGGCGTCCACTGCTTCTTCAGGTGATGAAAATCTCTGTCCACGCAATTTATTCTTTATTTTAGGGAAAGTATAGAAATCATTAGTGCTTAGGTCGAGGCTGTACGGCGGATGGTCTAATAATTCTATGTTTTCTTGCTCTAAAAACTTTTTTTCTGTTCTGTGTGCGGTTTGAGAACTCGCATTGTCGTGATGGAGGATGATGCGGCGGTTGCAATTCTCTTTACGGAGTTCAGAAACGACCTGTGGCAAACAAATGCTAGCATACCATTCTGCATTAACCGTTCTTTGTCCCTCAAGAGGAATAGTCGTAACATGGCCGGTTTTGGAGACAAACGTGGCCACCATTTTTTTTGCAACACTCCGTGAACGAACAATTTTTGTTGGCTTTAACTCATTTTCGAACACCCAAACTCGTGATTGGTTTTTTGTTTCGGGTTCGTACGCGTATATCCAGGATTCGTCACCTGATACGATGTTGTATACAGCATTTGAGGATCCTGCGTGGAATCTTTCGAGAGTTCTGACGCACCAAGTAACGCGAGCCGCTTCCGCTCTGTGAAGAGCAAACTCTTAACAGAGCGAATGCGGTATCCATCGGGAAAACAACTTTTTTACACCTAATTGTTCATGCAAGATTATTTGTATTTGACTCATGCCAATGTCTAAAGTTGCCTGAATTTCGCGGTATGTCACATGTCGATCTTCCTCAATCAGCTTACGCACAACATCAACGTTTTCTTGGGTGACTGCAGTTTTTGGACGACCTTGACGAGGATCATCACTGAGCTTGACACGTCAACGTTGAAATTCAGCAAACCAGCGATAAATTGTGGTTTTGGATGGGGCTTCATCACTAAATGCAGAAATCATCCGGTCAATACACTGTTTTTGTGTTAAACCACTTCGAAAGTCATAATAAATAATCGCTCTTAAAATTTCTCGAGTCAGTTCCATTTTCTCAACGACTAAACAAGTTTGACAAAACCTTGTGACAAGACCCAGAATCTTTTTTTAAATAAATAAATGGTATTCGATTTTTAAAACCAAGGAGTTTTCAATTAAAAAGATTTTAATATGACAGGAACAGTGGAAATATTCCATTCCCGATACTTTTAGTTCAGCCTTGGTACCATCAGGTGGACTGTGTGCTCGTTCGTCACCCTTATTCTATTAAAAGAAAGATGTCGCTATACTCTGATTTTTCATTCCGTAGAATTCTGACATTTCGTAAGTGTTGCTACTAAAAAAGTTCTCCACCGAAAAAGAGACAAATTTGAACCATTTGAGGGCAATAAATAATAAAATGCTACGTATTTTTTATGTTTCACCTACAAAAAGGTAAATCTAAATATTTACTTATACAAGTCACCTAATACAAAAATAACAAATATTTCAATATCACGAACAATATATCTAATTAACTTTAATTACTTAATATTTTATTCTTTAGCTGGCATCACTGTCTACTAATTCCAGGTTTAAAAAACCTTTTAAAAAAATGTTAGCTGTCACGTCGCGTCTGTCACATTGATTGATTTTCATTCGACTTCTTTGAATGCTCGAATGCGCATGTGTTCTCGGTGTTTGCTGCTATTTGTTGTTATTATCTTGTTATATTTGTTAAGTTTCTGTTATTCTGTTAAGTTTTTTCTTGTTGACCTTTCGTTTTGTGATCGTTTGTTGATTTTTATAAACGTTATGGAGCCACAACCTGGCCCTTCCCGGGAAGCAGCCCCATCTGACAGAGCACAAGGCTTAGACTTTCTTTCTCCCAGAAAGAAGCGTCCTCGTGGTGCTTTTACGCCCAACGAAAAGACCATAATTCTAAATATTTACAAATATAATATAGAAAATTGGCCGCAAACAACTGATTGGAGTGCAACGGAATGTGCTAAAAAGACTTCTGAGATGACTGGCGTGGGTCTGTCAAGTGTCTATAAAATTACCAAAGAATATAAAGACACAAAAGAATTTCAAAAGCCGAAAAAGAGTGGACCTCAACTATCTTTCATACAAAAATTTGACGAATTCACTTTCGCCGCAACTCGACGAAAGGTTCACGCGTTTTTCTACAGGAACGAGATTCCGACTATTGAAAAGGTAAAGTTATTGCTAATTCTTTAACACCTCGTTGCTGACATCCCCCATTGTTTTAAAACTATACTTTAACCTGTGTTGCCTGTCTACATTTTAACTGTAATGTAAATGCTTATTTCAGATTCACCAAGAGATAACTGGTGATCCAGACATGCCTGTTATGTCGAAATCAACATTAAGAAAAGTATTGAAGCATTTAAATTTTAAATACACAAGTCGCAAACGTCGAAGTGCGCTAACAGATCGCAAGGAGATAGTACTATGGCGTCAAAAATACTTGCACCAAATTAAACAATATAGAAGAGAAGGCAGGCTTATATATTACCAGGATGAAACGTGGGTAAACGAAGGCAAGTATTGAATTATGTGGTAATTAACTTTTTTATAACCTATCTTTTCTTCAAAGTATTAGTCGGAAATCGAATTCTGTACTTATGTAATACTTAAATTAACTTTGTTAATAAATTTTTGTTACCAAAATGAATAAATAAATAAAGAAATCCATGTTTACAGGTAATATTTTTCAATTTATATGCATATATAACTGTCCTCATGTATAAGTGAAATATTAAATATATTTTTATTTTCAGGACATACCGTCAATAAAGTGTGGTGTGATACCAACATTCAATCTTCACGACAAGCTTTCCTCGATGGCTTGACAACAGGGCTTAAGGCACCAACAGGCAAAGGGGGGCGACTTATAGTTAGCCATATAGGGAGCGAAGAAGGATTTTTGGAAGATGGTTTATTAGTTTTTGAGGCAAAAAAAGGCTTGGCAGATTACCACAAGGAGATGACTGGGGAAGTATTTGAGGAGTGGTTCACAAAAATACTTCCAAAATTAAAACCAAACTCGGTAGTAGTGTTGGATAATGCTCCCTATCATTCGAGGAAGGTCGAAAAAGTACCAACGAGTGCATGGAGAAAAGGCGATATCCAAGCGTGGTTGACTTCAAAAAATTTAAATTTTGAAGAAAAAATGCTAAAAGTTAATTTATTGGAAATTGTGGGTCAGGAGAAATACAAATATCAACAGTGTATTGTAGACGAGATGGCCACAGCACAAGGCATTACTGTGCTTAGACTGCCCCCATATCATTGTGAGCTCAACCCTATTGAATTGGTGTGGGCTCAAGTGAAGGGGCATGTCGCAAGACACAACAGAAGTTTTAAAATGGCGGAAGTTAAAAAACTATTACTGGAAAGTATAAGTAGTATTACTCCTGATAAATGGCAAGAATGTATCAGCCATACAATCAAAGAAGAAGATAAGATGTGCACTCTCGACGATTTCATTGACACAGTCGCAGACTCTTTAATAATTCATGTCAGCGATGATGACGATGATGAAGATAGTGATATAAGTATTAATGATGACTAAAGATTTTAATAAAAATATGTTATTTTTACTTGTGCATTTTTTACTGTTTGTAATGAAAAGGGACGTAATTATCACTCGCCGTAAAACCATGTAGAGTACCGCACTTAATAAAATGGATACATTTACTAACAAATAAAATGTATGTATAGACTCAGATGTTCAGACACGTATTGAAATTGAAAAATGTGCCCGGCCAAAAAGGTTTGTAATCTCTGACATGTCAAAAAATGATAGCTGTCAGAATTCTACGGAATGAAAAATCAGAGTTTAGTTGGGTCACACAGTGTCATCATCATGTAATGTAGAAAAGGTGTCAATGAAGAAGACGTGTAGTTGGTACTAAAACTTAAATTATACTGCTCACTTATTCTACTTCAGAACGATAAAAAATATAAAAAATTGAATACTTACGGCCTGTCCACGGGGATCGGCAGCACGAACGGCGAAGCGACAGGCGGAGTGAAAATTCGCGATTTGAGGACCACGGGAAGTCACGTTTGCCGCCGTGACCAGATAGGCCGAGAGTGAAATGTCTTTATCAAAGTTATCTCGATATTGCTTAGAAAGTAATTGTTTTTTGATTCAAGACATAATATTTGTACTTGATTTGAATAGGAATCGGGTTATAGATGGAGAATTCCCCAACAAATAGAATGCATCTAGAAAAAAATTTCGAGTAAATACCAGAATGAGTGTTGAAACCTGCGATTATATTCTTGTTAATATTCAACCAGAATTGGAGATAAAAGTCAATGCGGATAGAATTTTAAGTTGTTTTTGTCGGCCCGGCATTTTTCGCGGCGAAAACAACTAAAATATTTTGTTCCTATACTATTCGCCGCGTCTGCCGCCGCGACTGCCGCCCGACTCCGTGACTTGCACCGTACTGATTCATACATTTGTTTCATTCGCCCGCCGCGCCGCCAGTCGCCCGCGCGATTCGCCCGGTAAATTTCGCCGGTCGCGTCGCCACCCGCCGCTACTCGTGGCATGCTTCATACATTTCTATACATTCGTTTTAGTCGCTAGACGCTTCACCGTTCGCGCCGCGCGAATTTTCGCTACGGCGAATGTCCCGTGGCCAGGCTGTTACAGTTTCTTTAAATAAATTTATATACATATTATCTCTAAAATGAGTACTCTATAGGTAGGTTGGGTGGCCATATCCCTCTGCCCCATAGTAACATGGAGGTCACAATAGAATTAGTATGATGTATGTATATATGCGTATAACATACATATTTTACATAATTAGGTAATACATAATGTGTTAAACTTCGCGAACATCTTCTCTCAACACTCTTCTCTTATTTTATTAATTCATAATTTTCATCGCATTCTTTACTATCTTACAATACGGCCGACGTATCTTGGCGAGTCTGAATATAGGCTCTGCGAAGTTTAGCGCATGAACACTCGTGAAGAAAACTGTTATTGTCATTTTTTTATATATACCAATGTACAAATAAAATTTCCCTAATACAGTGACCAAAAATATCAAAACACTTTGGAGACATTATAAATTAAAGATTCAATTTTGATACCTCACCTTTCGATAGGGGCAGATTTTATCACAAACACATACAATATTATTTACATTTAATACTTTTTATTTATTTACACTTATTATTATTTAATCACTGTCGCTGAGGGGGGAAATTCCTAACATAAAGTCGTCGGCCCCTTGTGTACCATGTGAGGTACTTGGCATAGGTTCATCTTCGTAATCGTCGCTCTCACTTTCAGACTCACTTTCTGAATCTGAAGCTGTATTAATGATGAATAATTGATCCGTCATTTCGTCAATAATATGGTCGCTCTTCCTATAGTCATGTTCGACCTCTTGCACTTTTCTGCATAAAGCACTCCATTCATTCTGACCCATTAAATTTACTTTTTCTTGTATGAGCTCCATTGTCCGGGTTACGTTCCAGTCGACGTTTTTAGCGGCTACGTGCCCTTTAATGGCAGCCCACACCATCTCGATGGGGTTTAAATCGGGATGATATGGGGGTAAACGAAGGACATCGTGGTTGTTTTGTTTAAACATTTCATCTATTACGTATTTTTTATTCACGTCTTTGTTTTTTTTTATTAGATCGTAAAGTTGTGGTTTACGCATGTCCTTTTCATATGGTATACCCTTTTCTAATAACCACGATTCCATTTTTGCCTTCTTGTCATTAGATGTAGGGGCAGGATCCATTAATTTGTTGTGGTACGGAGCATTATCGATAACCACCACCGAGTTAGGGCTCAAATTTGGAATCAGTTGGGTCCGTAACCATTTCTCATAATTTTTGAAATTCATGTCATCATGATAGTCTCCGGTTTTGCTGCCAGATTTGAACATTAGTAGCGCGTTCGGAACAAACCCTGCTTCTGACCCAGCGTGTACCATCACTATCCGCTGACCTTTTGATATCGGGCGCTTTAGTCCTTGAGCGGAACCATCTGACCACGCCTTACCTTTTGTATGTGATGAGTGGGCATACGACTCGTCAGTGAATACAATTGGTCGCCCTTCGTCCCTGTATTTTTTCATTGCCTTCAAGTACAAGATCCTTTTCAGGCGAATGTCGGTCTTCTCTATAAGAACCATTCTATTGGTTTCGGTCTTTCGCCACTTGAAACCCAAGTTTTTGATAATTGTCTTTAAGCTCGTTTTACCACCTTGAAAATTTATATCCCGTTTGAGTTTCGCTAGTAATTTGTTTATCGTCGGCATTTCTTTTTCAGTTTTGTGGAAGTTGTGTATGCATCTTTTTACTACTCCCTGGTCAAAATTATCCATATCAGTAATAGGTTTTGATCTAGACCTTTTTTTACCAGGCGTGCGGAATACTGATAGTAAGCCCGAAATATTGCCTTCAGTTGCGATCCGCTGTACTGTGCGTTGGGACACACCAGTTGCGTTAGCAACTCTTAAATAAACTTTATCGACATCTTTTACGCCTTCTTCTTTTTCTTTTTTTCATATATTGCGTTAAATCGTAAATAATTTTTCTCGCCTGGCGATTTAACACACTGTTATGTTTTGGTGGCATGTTTGGCGAATAATATAAGTGCTAACTGACACTTGCAAATAAAACAAATAAAACAAATAAAACAAACAAAACAAACTTAACACTATTAATAAAAACAAACAACAATAACAACGAAAACTTTTGTAACCGACTGTGCTCAAGACAGAGATAGCGACACGAACACGACACCAATGCTAACGTGTGACTGAGAAATATTACCGTGTACCGAGCATTGCCGAATAAGCACGAAGCTTTACGAAGTAACCAGAAAGGGATGTCCAACACGCGTGCCTGAGGGTGTTGTTTAATCGATTTTTATTCAAATCGATTAAAATTAAGACATAAAAATATATTTATTTGCAATTTATAAGGAGGTTCTAAATTTTCTCAAATAGTCGTTACTCAAGAAGACGTTAATAGATAATTGATATTTAAGTACATTATGTCTTTCAGCTGAGAAAATAATATGTTTTTAGTTTTTTTTTATTTAAGTCGAAATCTTGTTTATTATCAACAAAATTCACTATATTTGTAAATCTATTTCGTTTAATATCTTATATAAACAAAAATCAATAACTTCTAAATAAAACTAATCGATTGCGATATTTTATGACTAAAGGGTCGATTGTGTTTACTTATGGTCAATCTCTAGCCTAGACCACCGCCCCCCCGTACGTCGCCTCATGCCACCATTTTGTTCCTTAAAAAAGCTATTGCGCAACCTTCTGCGCGAAGGTCGGACTCGCCAAGATACGTCGGCCGTATTGTAACTACATTTATCACATAGTTTTATATTTGGCAAACCATTATTTATTTTTCATTTTCCTACATAGCTTTTTAACTATTCATTATGGGATAATTGTGCCATTTCTTTCACGTACACGGTTCGCGTACATTCATGATCAAGACAATGACCAACTTCATTTCATTCACTTCTTTATGTTTCAGCTCATGTAATTCAATAATTTAATTGTACCATAACTTTTACGTATATACGGCTCGCTTACAAACATCTGGTACTAAAACTTTATATACTGCTCATTTATTCTACCTTAGAACTAATAAAATGCCGTGGAGCTACACTACTATCATTTCTAGTGTAAGTACATACACAAAATAATGCTTTAGTGCTGTATGCTGTATTTTTTAATTTTTACACATAAAAAAAAATCTTCTACATTTAAACATATCCTTAGTTTGTTTATGCATTCCTTAGTTAGTTAAGTGACTTAGTTTGGTTTATCCATTTCTAATTAGACATGGGTCGTACTTGCAAAATCGAATACCAGGGCTTCCAAGTACATCCACCTTCAGATAGCAGCGCCAAAAACCAGGGCTCGAGATATTTTCTAGTATTTTCTTTCTGCATCGAAAATTGGTCCATAAAAACACTTAAAAAAGGAGTGTACTTGAATATGCTAAAATAGTGAACTTTCAAGCCTTGTGGGAAGAAAAATACTTGCATAGAACATTGATCCATAACTATGCACAAATAAAGAGCACAATCGCCTTTAAAAAAAACTTCCAAATCTTTTAAAGTTCTAACTTTCTAGCCTTGTTGGAATAAAAATACTTGCATGGAACATTGATCCGTAACTTAACATAGATAAGAAGCAGAATCGCGTTTACAAAAAAACAATATTTCCTATACTTTAAAGTAAATATACCTTGATAGAAGATTGTGCCGTGTCGGTATATAAATAAGGAGCAGAATCGCGTCGAGTGTCGACAGAGCGAGAATATTCAAGTACTTTGAAGTCTTGCGAGTATTTTGGGTCGGCACTTGATCGGCGTACTTGCAAGTAAATACCTGGTATAAAAAGCTGGTCGCTTAAATACACTTTCCCCATTTCTAACATAATTAATATAAAATATAAGTAATATTTCAGAAAGAAAAATTAATCTCTACACTTTGCTAACAAATTTATTCCCCCGCCATAAAATCTGTCAAATGTTTCACCACCTTTCTAAGTGTACTTACCCTACATACTTTAAATATTATACATAATATGACTGTATTGCGTGATTGTGTGACGAGAGGCGTGATGTAGAGCATGCGTTGTAGATTCTCGCTGACAGCCTGGAGAGTGTTCCCGCCAGCGAGCCGGCGGACGAGGAGGAGTACAGCGGTGGCGCTGGTGGGGGCGGGGTTGCGGGCGTGGGAGAGGTGCAGCGGCTGCGCGAGCTGCTGGTGGTGGGGCTGGGTCACAAGGCCTCGCGCGTGCTGATGCTGCTGCGCCTCGACGGCGAGCCGCTCATGATATACCAGGTCAGCGTCTCTTGATGAACTGGTGCCAGGCCGCATGGTGCTGGTGGCGTAAGAGAATCTTTCGACCCATTTTGTTCCGTTGGTGGCGTTAGAGGTGGCTATAGAATATGGCAGAACTTATAACTTCCGATGAATAATAATAATAATTTATTAAAGCTTTAAACTTCCAGTACATACAGAGGAAAAGCTTAACATTAGTGAAGGTGACGTTCTATTGTCCTTGCTAGACTATACAATAACCTGTATTAAGGACATTCAGTCTCTTACCCCTTACACATGGGTATGCCCGACCGGGGCAGGACCACGTCCTCACGGAATACTAGCGTAAAATAGCAGCTCAACGCTGCAGTGTTTCGTATGGTGAGTGTGGAGAACCGGAGACCCTTTTTACTGGAAACGAGGCATTCCATCTTAGTCCTCACGGGTGAGAGCGCATCTGCATTTTGATTCGTAATCGAGGATAGACGTAGATGTCTATGGGCCACAGCAACCACTTACCACAGCGTTAACTGTGTTCTCGTTTGTCACTCTATCCTATTAAAGAAAATATGTATATAGATAACGGGCCCTTCTCTAGTAGACATTTTGATTACATTCTAATGAATATTGAATTTGTCCAGGCCTACAAATACCCTCGCGGCAACTTGAAGATGCGTTTCTCCCGTATGAACGTATCGTTTCCCTTCGGTTACGAGAGCGAAACCGTCACATGTCCAGAAGACAGCTACGAGGCAGCCATGCTCAGGGATGGAGTGCGACAGCTGCGGTATTTCGGTATGCAGCTTTTATCTTGATACCTATGAGATACGGTGTAAACTCCATGTAACGTCATTAGATTTAACGTCAAACTCCCTAAAGCGTCGAAATCACTGCTTTGGTTGTGTTAGCTTGTCTTCCAAACAATCATACAGTGATTAAAACTACTTTTACGGATTTTATCGCGTTTTATTTTTTTCTTTCCAGCACCCATGGTCACGGGGGACTGAGGTGACCGACGTCCCGATGTCAATGTTAACCCGGAGTACCTTCAGCTTTTTAATTATTGTTTTTGGTCCGATCTACGCAGAATGAACTAACTGTATTTTGAAGTCTTGCAGTGGGTATGCTTTGGTTTAGTTTTAATTTTATTAATTATAGGATCCCAAGCAGGTGGTAGTACCCAGCCTCCTTCTCTATTGATATTAGGATGTTTTTTAATTTCAATAGCCTCACGTATCATCCTTGGTAGGAATCGATGTTCTTTCGCGAGGATTTGTGGTCTATCAAATCTGATGTAATGGTTGGGGCCATCTAGAATATGATCGCAAACTGCAGACTTCCCGGAACGTTGATGCTTCACGTCAGCTATGTGTTCTTTTACGCGGGTTCTAATTGATCTCTTTGTTTGCCCTATATAAGAGAGACCACAATCACAATCAAGCTTGTACACTCCTGCATCTTGTAGAGGAATATGACACTTGACTGTTGGTAGGAACTGACTAATCTTCTTCGGCGGCTTGTAGAATGTTCTAATAGAAGCTCGCTTCAAGATGTAGCCAATCTTGTCTGTGACACCTCTGACATATGGTACTACAGCAGGCACACGCTCGACTGTGGCCGGCTTCACTCGTTCACTGTGACGGAGGCGCGGGACCCGAAGCTTGTTGTCGTGCAGAACCTGCTTGACGTGCTGAAGCTCGGCGGCCAGGTGTTTGCTGTCAGAGATCCCTCGTGCTCTCTGAAACACAGATTTGCCCACGGTAGCTAACTGTGAAGGATGATGGTGAGATTCACCATTTAAGTATCGGTTTGTATGGGTCTTTTTTCTATACACAGTATGCCCTATGGTGTTGTTAGGATTTCGGATGACTAACACATCTAGGAAAGCTAAGGAATTATTTGCCTCTAACTCCATAGTAAATTGAATTTTAGGGTTTATGGAATTAAGATGTTCTAAAAATGCAGTTACTTTGTCTGATGGTAAAATTGTGAAAGTATCGTCTACGTACCGCTTGTAGAACCTTGGGGTAACAGGTGCAGTAAGGAGGGCTTTCTCCTCAGTCTTCCATGGACATATCGGCGACAATGGGAGATACAGGTGAGCCCATCGCAACACCATCTACTTGCTTGTAAAACTCTTCCTTCCACAATAGATAGCCAGATGTAAGGCAATGGCTTAGTAGTACTGCATATTCTGGTGGCATGTTATTTTCATCTAGTTTCCTAGTTATAATTGAGATGCAGTCTTCAACAGGTAGGCATGTAAATAGAGACTGAACATCAAAACTGACCATGGTTTCATTGTCAGCAAGACGTAGGTCTTTTATCTCACTGACAAAATGGTATGAATCCTTAGTATGTGCTCTTGTGTGTCCTCTGAGTGGTGATAATATTTTGGCTAAGTGTTGAGCCAATCTGTACGTTGGCGAATCGATTTGACTCACTATTGGACGTAATGGAGCATTAGGTTTGTGTATTTTTGGTAACCCATACAACTTGGGAGGTTTTGCACACGAAGGTATTATCGAATTGACGTCTAGATTCAATTTCTCGGAGTATTTCTTAATCAGATCGCTAGTTGTTTTAAGCGTATTAGTTGTAGGGTCTGTTTTGACCTTACGGTATGTACTTTTATCCGACAAAAGTTGTTGTATTTTATTGTCGGATGAAAGTAGTTTTGCGTAAGGTTTTTAAGGCGTTAAATTCATTTTTGGGAAGTTCGGCGCTCTTCTTCTAAATCTTCCCAAAAATGAATTTAACGCGTTAAAAACCTTACGCAACAGACCAGAGCTTACGATTCTCCGCGCAGATAAAGGAAATGCTACCCACTCTCAATAACGATAACAATTAAATAATAAAAAGTACTTTTTAAGTTACAACAATTAGTAAAAACTGTACATTATGTACGTTCTTTTGTTCTTTTCTAACTTTATTATTCTAGCCCGTAATAAACTCGACTGTCGGTACCATGCATACCAAACTCTCTAAAAAATCCGTTGTTTTGTTTACAAATTGGGATTGCTTGCACATGTAGCCTGTTGTTAGTAGGAGTCATGTATAATCTATACGTTACCATATTCTTAGTTGCTTACAGACTTTCAAACATGGCAAGTTTGTAAACATGGCGAGTAAGAGAAAATCACGTTGTATTGACGGAAAAGTGTTATACAGATTTTTCTTCTTTCCATTTACATAATTTTAACACTCTATAACGTCAAAATATACACAGTCTCTTGGGTGTCGTTATATGGAGTTTACACTGTATTTGTTTTGTTTGGTGATCGTTTAGTTTGTTCAATTCTTTATTAAATGAGGCTAAGAAATGTTTCTGTGGGATCTTGATTGGTTATATTGTCGTAGAATTGAATTCAATCAATTTTTTATATATATATATATATATATATTATATATATATATATATATATATATATATATGTGTGTATATATATGTATATGTGTATAATATCATATAGTTAACATACAAAGATGTCATAGGTTTATATATTACTGTGTTATTTATATAATTTTGTTATGTATATTAGGTTTGTTAAAGTGAGTTTGGGTTTAGAATTAAGTAACACCACTGTCTTATAAATTCATTAATAATAATAAATAAAAAAAACCGTATATTTAATATTGGTCGCGTTGGCACGTGATTGTGCAGGCAACGTGGGCGGGTACAACGGCGTGTTCATCTGCGGGCGCACGCCCTACCTGCTGCTGTTGACGGGGCGCGGGGAACTCCGGCTGCACCCGCTGGCGGCGGCCGAGGGCGCCATACCTGCATTCGCGCCCTTCAACAACACCAACTGCCCGCACGGCTTCCTCTACTTCAACTCCAAGGTCATTGTTTATGTACTATTCACTACCAACCCCTTTTACCTAGGTCACAACAATTAATGTCACAGTGTACTGTTTATATTTGTGTGATTTGAAACTCGATGAAACGAAAAAGCGACTCTTAAAAGAGACAGTCACCCACATCTATAGGATTTAGCCTGCGAGAAAATGAAATAAGGAACGGTCTAATAAGTGACTATAGCTTTATCACTATGTGCTAACTGCCAACTCGAAAGCTTGTGCGTTTGAATCGGCCATTCGACTACTGTCCTAACATAAACATTCTCAGCTTACCAGTAGTGGTATAGTGAATATTTGTAATGTAAGTAGCATTGCTAATATTTTTAACTCACCACTATAAAAATCAATAATTTTACAAAAATCGGGAAGTTATTGTTTCGAAATCCTACGAAGCTATTCTAACTATTTTGGCGATGACATCCGTATGTCTGTTTGTATATGTGTAGATGTGTATGTGACACAATAGCGAAGCCTCCATAGAAGCCGGGCTTGCCCTATTAAACTGCTCAATCAATAAAATCAACTTATAATATAACTCTTAAACTGTTTTAAACTATTTCAAATTTCCCGCGCGCTCCTCTGTTCTACACAGGTCATGACCTCGTAACCTTATTATGTAACGTCAACAAATGGCAGATTGCTTTCAATTCGAACACGCAAAGGACTGTCCAAATTAATGAAAGCAAAGCAATATGGATGGACCCCGGTCGCGGCAAAACTATGCGATACTGCTGTCATAAAAAGGAGTTGAGTTGAGCGATTAGTTGTCTCTCTTGCAAGCCTGGGATTTTTACGGGGCTTTCGAGAAGAAATCGCTCCCTTTCCAACCTGTGGAAAAATGTTCTATTATGAAATGTAACTACGATTGTTTATATTGCAATTAGTATGGAGCGATAAGTTGAGCTTTCGGTGTGAAGTTAGTCGCCGGCGATACGTTTGCAAGTTCACTTCACATTTCAATATTTACTCTTTGTGTTTACTTGAGCGAATGAATATTGTGAGTTGAAAATTTATGCTTTTTTAAAGATTTTAGTGAAAATGGAGGATAATACTGTTCCTTGTGATCAATCGAAGTGTGTTAAAGTGCTAATCGGCGAATAAAATCTTTCACTTTGTTGAGAAAAACGGCTCATATTCTCGACGAAACCAACGCTAATTTGTTTTTTTAAATTTTGTATATAGTTTGTTTGTACTTCGTTCATTCTTTTCTATTCTTATGTATGTCTATGTACGGCTTTTTTCAAAGCCACCGAAGTGTGGCTAATTGGCAATGTCTGCCTGGTCTACTTGGATGACATCATCATCGTAGGCCGTACGTTTGAGGAACACCTTCAAAACCTGGAACGCGTGCTCATGAAGATCCAAAGTGCCTACCTCAAGTTGAGTCCCAAGAAATGTTCTACTACTATTCAAACATCAAGTTAGCTTTTTGTGGTATGTAGTGTCGAAAGAAGGTATCCTTACGGATCCAGAGAAATTCGCCGCAGTCAAGACGCAGGTTAGAGCATTTTTGGGTTTGTGCTCATATTGTCGGCGATTTGTGAAGAACTTTACATATGTAGCCACAAGCTAATCGAGGAGATGCGACATTTCTGCTGGGATAAAGGTTGCGATATTGCATTGCAGGAGCTCAAGGACCGTCTGTGCAAAACGCCATTTAAGGGTTACCCTGATGCAGGCAAGGAATTTATAGTTGACACAGACGCAAGTGATATAGGACTTGGCGGTGTGTTGTCTCAACGGAATGGTTTACAAGAGGTTGTGATAGCGTACTACAGCAAGTCGTTGTCAAAGCCGGAAAGGAACTATTGTGTCACAAGACGGGAATTGCTTGCTTTGGTAAAGTCGTTGCAGCATTTTAGCAAATACCTTCTGGGTCGGAAATTTCATTTACGAACTGACCATGCTGCACTGAAATGGCAATCCAGAAGGACAAGTTGCAAGATGGATTGAACTACTGCAGGAATACGACTTTGTGATCGAACATCGCAGCGGGAAATCTCATGGCAACGCAGACGCATTGTCAAGAAGACCTTGTCCTGAAGACTGCAAGCATTGTACTACACATTGCAAGAGAATGGCAAGGAAGTGGTATCCGTGAGGATGCTTAGGACAGACCACCTCAGCAACGAGTGGAAGGATAGTTTACAACATGCACAGCAGGAAGATTCGGACATCAAGCCGATTCTGGAATGGATGAAGGCCAGTGCTCCCAAACCCAAGCGGAGCGGAATCTCAGCGATGAATTCGACCACGAAAAGCTATTGGGCCCAATGGGACAGCTTGCTGATTCAGGATGGAGTTCTGTGCCGTAAAGGAGAAAATGGTTGGGAAGACAGCTGTCATTTGCAAATGGTTGTTCCTAAAGCTGAAGTATCAGATGTTTTACCGCTGTACAATAATGGTTCTTCAAGAGGCCACCTGGGAGTTAAACGAACTCTACTGAAGATCCGGGTCCACTGTCGAAACGATGTCGAGGACTGGTGTCGCAAATGTACAAGTTGTGCGGCTGTAAAGGGACCTCAGACTCGTAGTAGAGGGGCATTGAAATTGTACAATGTTTGTGCACCATGGGTGAGTACTATTTACAAGTTAACAAAACACACATTAATAAGGAGCTTAAAATTTAAGTATAAAATATGAAAATTTTTCAACATATAAAATTTAAAACTCGCCGATAGGCATTCATAAAACAAGAACATCTTCTTACCACCCGCAATCTGGTGGAATGGTAGAACGATTTAATCAGACATTGGAGAGGTACCTAGCAAAAGTTGTGAAAAATCGATTGGAAGCACATACAACAACCGTTTTTGTTGTCATATAGAAGCGCTGTTCACGAAAGTACAGCAGTGATGCCAGCTTTCGCAAACTTTGGAAGAGAATTACGACTGCCTGCAGACCTGATCACCGGGATACCATCTGATGCCCCACGCAGTATAACCAATTATTAACAAATTGAATAACATTCATGAGCACGTCGGACAATCGGGCCAGCAGATGTCTGAAAAGATGAAAACTTGGTATGACCGCAAAATGATCAACAAAGAGTTCGACGAAAGTTCACTGAATTGTGCAACCACACAATTCAGTCCACATAAAAGGGAAATCTCCTAAACTTCAAGCTAAATAGGACGGACCGTACCAGATTGTGACGAGGATTAATGACCTACTGAATGCAGAAAGGTGCAGGAGAGGTACTCCTAAAATCGTCCATGTGGACGACTGGCGCGTTATTATGGGGCCGATAATTCTCGAGACGAGCATGTCTTAGCAGTGTTGTACGCCATAGTTAATGCCTGGTACAGAGCGAGTTCTTACTAGCGCCATCTACTATCGAGTAGCAGAATTAGGAGACTCAAGATCTTTCTAGAAAATTCCATACTAGAACTTTCTAAACTCAGTAAGTCGGGACCGTTATGTACTCGAACATTCTAGATGTTTCAGTAGAAGAGGCCCATGTAAGGCGGTAGTACCGCGACTGAGCGAGTATTGAATTAGCGATTCAAGCGAATACTTCGAAGCGATATAACTGCGAACTAAAGTGATCAATATTTCAATTGTGCTTATTACTGTGTTTTAAGTTGTAATTAGTGTTCGGTAATTAAAGTGTCAATTTTGGTAATTCACTCGGCGGTTTTTAACTATCTCGAACTCCAAGCTCGTTTATTATTTTTACACAGAAATCGTAAAACAATGTTGGGCTTAGTCTTAGGAATAAGTCTGTCATTGTTCGTTTTGGGGCATTACTGTTATGAGTTGGAGAAGAGTATGATGCGGTCATTTTCGAGTACTGCATCGGTAAATACTTGTACCACGAGAGTATATCGAATCGTAGTGGTGTTGCAGGGCTGGCTGCGCATCAGCGTGCTGGCGGGCCACGTGTCGTACGACGCGCCGTGGGCCGTGCGTAAGGTGCCGCTGCGCGCCACGCCGCACGCCGTCACCTTCCACCTGGAGTCGCGCACGCACTGCCTGGTGACGTCACGCGCGCTGCCCACGCAGGAGTACTACCGCTTCAACGGCGAGGACAAGGAGCGCGCGCACGAGAACAAGGGCGGCAGGTACGTCATACTTCACACCGCACCTGGTGACGTCACGCAAGCCTGCAGTCGCGCGCGCACTGACTGGTGACGTCACGCGCGCTGCCCACGCGGGAGTACTACCGCTTCAACCGCGACGACAAGAAGCGCGCGCACGAGAACAAGGGCAGGTACCTTACTCCATGCAGCCCTCTCTTTCTTACACCACATCGCAATTTCACTTCAGTATGCACGGCATTCAATGACAAAATTTTGCATACTGGAAAAACCGGGTTTTTCTACCGGGTACATTTATTGAGATTAACCCTATATAACGGCAAAATTGGTGGTGCCCATCACAAATCCGGTACTAAACATAGGTTTTCCCCAAGAAACGTCATAAAGCACGATAGCGCTATATAACCAGCCCACTACTACTTCATTTTAAACTAGTATCTGTGAATGCGACACAGTCTTCGACGACGCACATCGTGTACAGAATAAATGCACACTATACGATGACCTAATTTGAGATAATAAGTGAAATAGGATAGATAGCAGACAACTGGAGCTGTGTTATGTACGTCATGCACAAAATAGGAGATAAGAATAAATAATTAATATAGGTCACCCTCCTCACAACCCATCGCCACATCACTCTCATCTCCATGCAGCCTTATTTATGGAAGAGAAAGTAAACGAGCATACGGTTTCCCTAGTGGTAAGTGATCACCGTCGCTCATGGACATCTTTAATGCTAGGGGAATAGCAGATGCGTTAGAGTCTTTTTTACACTGTCCATCTGATGGTAAGTTGATGCTGTGGCCCATAGACATCATTTATCCTCGATTAAGGATCAAAAAGCAGCATTAAGCTACTATTTTATGGTGGTATTCTGTGAGAGCGTGGTCCTTCTCTGGTTGAGCCGACGCATTAATACTTCAACCATAATACAACTGCAGCGTGGCTCTACCATGTATAGATAGGTCAAACGAGCGTGAGGCTCACCTTGTGGTAAGTGTCGCTACCGCCCATGAACAACTGCAACACCACGGGAGTTGCAGGTGTGTTGCCGCCCGTTAAAAATAGTAAACTCGTTTCATAAAGCTTCCTAAGTCGTATTGGTCCTGAAATCGAATCGAATCATTATTACTTAGGGTATGTTCCAAAATAGAACCCAGTGTACTGTCCAATGCAAATGACGTCATGAATCGACGCTATACTGGTAATTCGTTCCAAAACATAGGACAGTATAATATGACATCATACATTTGCGCCATATTGGAAAAGTGTTGGCGACTATTTTGTCATTTTGTGCTCCAAAAATCATTATATCCTCCTAATGGAGATACCAGCAATTATTCTATATTTTTTTCATAAACACTCACGCCTGTCACCCAGACGGGTAGGCAAAGACTATGGACTTCCATTTGGCACGATCCTGACATACCTCTTTCGCCTCCTTTACATCCATATATCTACGCATACATGCTCGTCGGTTAAGGGTACTTCTAACGTGGCCCATTTTCAAAATATCGCCAATTTGGTCGATAAACTTTTTTCTAGGGCGTCCCCTCCCGACTCTCCCGTTCACATCTGCTACATAAATTTGCTTTGTCACTCTTTCCTCATTCATTCTTTCTCCATGACCAAACCACCGAAGCATTCCTTTCTTAATCCTGGTCACAACATCATCTTGCATACCACATTTATCTATAATTTTTTGTATTTGAATAAATAAAAACAAATTCTGACATGCTTCATTCAGCGCACACACAATTAAAAATTGTTTTATTATGGCCGGATACCCGACACAATATGGCAGCAGCACGCCAGTACAATACGGCGTCAATTGATGATGTCATTTGTATTCGGCAGTATATTGAAAACGTTTCGGAACATACCCTTAACTTTAAAGAGTTTGTAATTTTTTGTGGCGGCGCTGTCGTCGCGCCACAAAAAAGCGAAACACATCGAAGCCTAAATCGCGCTATCAAAGTTCCGAATCAAAAACACATAGAACGTTGGCCGCTCCCCGGGCAGAACACCTTGCCCGGCGGAAGATCTCCCCTTTTTCTTCCACGGCCACACCTTCATAGGGTAATGTATACTTTTTTACAAATAGCCCCAGTAAATATAAATATAATGTAAATATTATTGAGCACAAATTGTCTAGTAAGGGTTATTATACTACTAAAGAGTACATGATTGATAATAATTCCTGGGAATAAGGTGATCGCATCATGCTGTTTATAAATGTTTTCATATTTAATTGTATAAAATATTACTATATATTAGTATTATTTTTAAATATATAATTTTATTTAAAAATAATACTGCTGGGGTTTTTGCTGCTTCTTCCCAGGACAAGGTTTTTTTTTTACGAATCAATTGTAAAGGTTAAATTACTTTCAAAAAGAAGCCGTGTGAGAAAGAAAATTCCGAGTAAAACGTATAATTCACGGGTTGTCACCCAAATATATCATTCACCAGCTAACGTTTCTTGTAATCGTTGTAGGTTTCCATACCCGATGCAAGAGAGATTCTCAGTAATGCTGTTCTCTCCGGTGTCATGGGAGGTGATCCCCAACACTCAGATCGAGCTGGACGAATGGGAACACGTCACCTGTCTCAAGAACGTCGCGCTCTCATACGAGGGAACCAGGTACTGTCATTTCATTATACAATTTAGTTCGAGGGATTTTTTTATAGAAAATGGATGAACCAACAAGCACGCAGTTTATCTGATGGTAAGTGGGTGTTGTGGCCGATAGACATCTATATCTATCATCGATTAAGAATCCAAATGCAGATGCGTTGTCACCCCTGAGAATATTCTTTCTCTCCTCGTTTTTCCTCGTTTCCTCGTTTTCAGTAAAAAGAGCCGGAGGCTTCTCTACACTCACCATACGAAACACAGCAGCATTAACTTCGCCGGTATTTGTAATTTTAAACATTTGTTTCCAATTCTACTTATCTAATTTTATACAAATTTCATTACCTGGTGTTAGAGTTCCTTTTTTGACTACACTAGGAATCTTACTTAGTACTAACCTCTTATTTCTTCCACCAAGCAACAGGATGTGTTCCGGTCTAAAATGTATGGAAAGCTTTTATTTATAGGAAAATGGTGACAAACGAGGACACACTTCACCTGATGTTAAGTGGATGCTGTGGCCCATAGACATCTACAGCTATCCTTATTTACGAATCAAATTGCAGATGCGTTGTCTGCCTTGGGGACTAACATAGAATGCCTCGTTTCCAGTAAAAAGGGTCTCCGGTTCTCTACACTCATCATACGAAACAGCAGCTGTTATTAAGCTACTATTAAGCTATTAATAAGCTACTATTTTACGCTGGTATTTTGTGAGAGCATTGTTCTTCCCCGGTCGAGCCGACCCATTCGTGCCACAATTATACTATACTATAATATGGCTCTACCACGTATAAATTATTATTTATAAATTAGCTGTTATAATTACAGGCTGTGAGGAATTTTATCTTTGTGATTAGAGTTGACAACACATCTGTCCATCTTTGTTCAAAACTTGGTTAGTGTCAACGATGTCTTTTTTAGAATAATGGTGACAAACAAACACACAGTCCATCTGATGGTAAGAGGATGCTGTGGCCCATAGATATAGATCTACACTTATCCTCGATTAAGAATCAAAACGCAGATGCGTTGTCACCCCTGAGGACTTAGATGGAATGCTTCGTTTCCAATAAAAAGGGTCTCTGGATCTCTAAACTCATCATACGAAACACAGCAGCATTAAGCTACTATTTTACGCTGGTATTCTGTGAGAGCGTGGTCCTTCACCCGTCGAGCCGATCCATTTGTGCTTCAACCATAATATAGCTGCAGCGTGACTCTACCCTACTTCGTATAAAAATAATTCATCAAATATTATTTATTAAAATTATAATAAACACCGTCACATTTAAACTTTTTAAAATGAATAAATAATTTTTAATCTTACCTTATGAATAAAACTATTATTTACGGATTTTTTCGCGTTTAATTACTTTAATTTATTTTTATTATTATCCCGACGTTTCGGGTGCTTTACAGCGCCCATGGTCACGGGGGGGACTGAGATGTTTGACGTCCCAATGTCATAGTTAGTCCGGCTACCTAATATTAAAAAACTGAAGGTAGCCGGACTAACTATGACATTGGGACGTCAAACATCTCAGTCCCCCCCGTGACCATGGGCGCTGTAAAGCACCCGAAACGTCGGGATAATAATAAAAATAAATTAAAGTAATTAAACGCGAAAAAATCCGTAAATAATAGTTTTATTCAATGTGTAGTGTTCGCGTAAATTTAAGAAATCATTACTTACCTTATGATATAAAATGAGTATATGTCAAACTTGCGAAAAAAAAATCTACGTGTATAGTTACTAGCAAAATATAAGAGCGAGAAAGGAGGTGATATTTTATTTTTATTTATTTCAGATAGTTGTAATTCTAGAATTTTCTTTTACAGGTCGGGACTGAGAGGGTACATAGCGATAGGAACAAATTACAACTACAGCGAGGACATTACTTCGAGGGGAAGGGTAAGTAACTAAAGAATTCAATTGTTTATGTCTTTGAATGAAACCCACTGTTATGGATTTTATCGCTAGTTTCATTTAATGTATAGTGTTTAATCATATATCATCATCATTTCAGCCTGAAGCCAAAAGTTTACTGCTGAAGATTAGTCTCTCCCATAGATTATCTCATAGAGTGGATATTTGTGATAGTTTCCACTCTTGGTATTCCTGGTTTTAACCGCAGATTTTTAATAGTTTAAGTATCGTTTTTCTCTCTTTATTCATTCAGTGTTGTGAAATGAAATGAAATGAATGGATTTTTATTCAATATAGAACATTACATAATACTTATTGAAAGTCATTTTTTTATTTCCATTGGTATGAAAAAAAAATCTCTGTTCTAGGAAGAACCAGCAAGAAACCCAGGGTATTTTTTTTAAACATATTTCACTTTACAATAATTTATTTTGTACAAATTTTAAATGATTTTTTATAGAACCAGCGTGGTGGCGATCACCTCATTCCCGGGGGTTATTTTCATTTGTGTATTCTTTGATATTATAAAGAACCCTTTTTGTACGATTTTTCTTTAATAAAACAATTAAACTTGTTTAATGACAAATTTTGTGCATTTTCTGGGATTTTGTTGTAAAAGCGTTGCCTTACATTGCCCCATAAATGGATTACTATTTCTGTGGAGTCTAGTAACTGGTATTACAAGCTTATGTTTGTTTCTAGTATTTAAAGTATGAACATTTTTAATCTTATGAAAGATATTTATATTTTATATAATTTATAATGTTCCCATAAATATCACCATCATCATCATCATTACAGCCTATCCAAAAGTTCACTGCTGAAAATAGGCCTCTCCCATAGATTGTCTCATGTGGGGGATATTTGCCATAGCTGCCACGCTTGGTACACTGGTTTTCAATCGCAGTTTTTTTATTATCTGTACTCCAAAAATAGGAATAGAAAAAAATAGATAATCAATAATTAAAAATTATATTATTCATATTTAAATTCACTATCAAATACAATCTAGCTATTAAGTTGTCTTCACACACAATTTTCTTTTTCTTTTTTTTTTAAAACTGTTTTGTATTTTGTATTTTTATAGTGTATTTCTTGTTATTTTTACATAGCCATGGCTACCTATACTTAAGTTGAAACTTGTTTGCGTGTTTCGTTATATGAATAAGTGTTTTATAAACAAAAATTGTAAAGCTTATATCTTGTTGGTGCCTTAAAAAATAAATAAATTATTTCGAGTCCATAATGGTACGTACTCAAAAAAAAAGTCATGCTCATAAGCTTGCTTAAAATTAGCATGCTCTAATAATAATTAAGCATGCTCAAAGCAAACTTTGGACAGAGGTGCTATTTGCCACCGGGCTCTCGGCAAAAATGGATGTACAAAGATATAGTGACTATCCGTACAGAACTTAATAAAGTAATCATATTGCTTGCAACCGAATTGTGTAAGAAGATAAAGCTAAGTCTTTTCTTCTCCACAACGCGACATATTGAGGGTTTTTGTTTATTATTTTATATTGACGCAGCAACTGTTGCGCATCGAGATCGCTTCGATAATAGCATGCCCATAAGCGAACCTGTTCAGATGCGCTCAGAGCGCGCCTACTTCTATCCACGTCTCAGGTAGCATACTCGAAAAACAAACGTCGATTGATTTTTGAGCACGCTTAAAATAAGCATACTCATTAGGATGTCTGTGACGACATCCTCGGGATGATATGGGGTAGTGAGTTCTCTGACCAAGTCACTACACGACAAAAATGTTTTAATATAATAAATCAATATTTATGGTTGTTGTAACTTAAAAAAAATTAAAATTTCCTTCCACAGATTATAATTTACGACATCATAGACGTTGTCCCGGAACCTGGGCAGCCGTTAACGAAGAACAGGTTCAAGGAACTGTATGCGAAGGAACAGAAGGGACCCGTCACCGCACTGGCCCAAGTCTTGGGATACCTGATCTCCGCTATAGGACAAAAGGTGTGGAGATAATTTTTTTATTGATGTGGTATAACTGCAGCTCGGTCTAATTATATCTATGAAAAGTTGATATCGTGGGACAGATTTGATTTATTTTCAATAATTAAGTAATGGATTCTTCAAAAAGCTTGTTGGTGCTTATTTGTTACGCAGTATATTAAAAGTTGCGTTTCAATGAAAAAATTAAAAGTTCGAATAAAAGTTTTTCGATTTTTAGTGTATAGGTCGCTTAATATATAATCTGAAATCGCGCAGCGAGCTATGGAGAGGGATATGCTCGGGATTTCTCTGCGTGATAAACTTAGAAATGAGGATATCCGCAGTAGAACCAGAGTGACCGACATAGCCCAACGGATTAGTTAACTTAAGTGGTAATGGGCCGGCCATATAGCTCGAAGAACCGATAACCGATGGGGGAAAAGGTTCTCGAGTGGCAACCTTGTACCGGCTGGCAAAGTAAAGGGTGTTCCCCCACTAGATGGAGTAACAACCTGGTAAGACATGCAGGAAGTCGATGGATGCAGGTGGCTCAGGACCGTGCTTTGTGGCATATCTTGGCGGAGGCCTGTGTTCAGCAGTGGACTTGTGAAAGGCTGTAAATATAATAATGATGATGTCCCTTAATTAGCCTTTCTGTTAAAAGTCTAGCTTTTTTGTTCGTCGTTTTCGTTTAACTAGCGGCCTTAAGTGATATTCAGCCTATGCCCTTCAGCCGATGTGTCTAATACAACATTTCATACCTAATTATGCGCGATGTGCTATATTATATAAATGTTTTCGACTTTAGGCTGGCCGAACGGCCACCCCAGTTGCACCATAACCTATTGTCGCGGATATTATAAGATAGGTGCAATGTTGTATTATACCCATCGGTTTATAATAAATCAGATTGTTAGTTGATAGTATAAATGCTAGGATGTTACCTGAAAGGCTAAACAAGCTAGTTGCCTGTGACATATACACCTAAATATCTAAGCGATAGTAGCATAATGGCAGGGCGCGGATCGCGAATTCAAAAGATCGTAGGTTCGAATCCGCCATTTGTCTACTGTCGTGAACCACTCCTTACACAAGCGTTTCAAGCTTACCAGGAGTGGTTAAAAGGAATATTAGTAACGTTAATTAGTAAGATTACTCATATTTTATTAAAACAAAAATAAAAATATATACAAAACAATTCAGTGCAATTTTTAATTTACATCCTGTAAATATAACAGAATGCAAGTAACCCGGGTTCGATCCCCGCCGGACAATGAATTGTTTGCTTTTAGTGTGACGTGTGGGGTGAGAAAAAATGTGGGAAACTGCATGTTGGGAAAGAAATATTTCGAAGACATGTGAAGTTCGCCAACACGCATTGGGGAGTGGCGGACACTTCTTGCCCTAAAACCCTCTCAGAAATGAGGGGAGGCCTGTGCCCAGCAGTGGGACTTATATAGGCTGTAACTTTACTTTCTTTTTATATAAAACAATGGCTCAGTGGCCGTTCTTTAATTTTTGCACATTTTTAACTCTGTTTTCAATTCTTTACTTTTAGGAATATTTGCAGTTAGGTTTTTGATTTTAATCTAATTAATGTAAAGTATAGTTGATATTTTAGAATAAAACATTAATTTTTTTAAAATTTTGTAACAAATTCACTTCTCCGGTATGAAATCTGTCAAATATTTCACCTTATTCTTAAGTGTTGTCGCCTCGGTGGTACCATGAAAGTAGATTAACTTGTAGTGATTTTATACTTTGATGGATGTGCTCATTGACATCTAATATGATCTCTATATATTTAGCGCTGTTTCAGTTTTTGGGTAAATTGTATTATAGTCTTTGCGTTTATAACATAGTGCGGGTGACAGTTTAGCATGTTTAGGAATGGAACGATGTTAAATCGATTTAAAAAAGGTAATTAACGATACACAAAGCAAAAGCAAAATTTATCGATTAGCTATCGAGAAAAAAATAAAACTGGAACGTATTTTCCTTTATCAAATCGAATTAATTTATTTCGGATAATATAAGATCTATGTCATTAAAATACATTGATTAATTGATAACAAGTAATAATAATATTTATCAAATCAAATCGAATTAATTTATTTCGCATAATATAAGATCTGTCATTAAAATAAATTGATTAAGTTGATAACAAATAATAATAATATTTATCAAATAAAAATCGAATTACACATTTATTTCGCATAATATAAGATCTATGTCATTAAAATACATTGATTAATTGATAACAAATAATAATGATATTTATCAAATCCGATCGAATTAATTTATTTCGCATAATATAAGATCTATGTCATTAAAATACATTGATTAATTGATAACAAATAATAATGATATTTATCAAATCAAATCGAATTAATTTATTTCGCATAATATAAGATCTATGTCATTAAAATACATTGATTAATTGATAACAAATAATAATGATATTTATCAAATCAAATCGAATTAATTTATTTCGCATAATATAAGATCTATGTCATTAAAATACATTGATTAATTGATAACAAATAATAATGATATTTATCAAATCAGATCGAATTAATTTATTTCGCATAATATAAGATCTATGTCATTACAATACATTGATTGATTGATAAGTTGATAACAAATAATAATATATCATTAAAATAGAATAAATACAAATTACACATAGTGATTATTTAGTACGTTCTCAATCTGACAATTACTGGGACATGTGTGTGATGTGGGCAGTAATGCCTTAAGAATAGGGCAGTGCAATCTGTCGCGTATCATTCTCGGGCTAATAACGGAGCTGTGCGCAGCAGCAGCCAGCGGCTTGCCTCATGCCGGAGCCGCTGCAGCAGCAAAGCAGCCCCAAAATCACCGTGAAAGCGTTATTTGTACAGGATGCGGAAATCGTAACTTCCTTTGTTACATAATGATTTCTTATATTTACGCGAACACTACACATTGATTAAAACTACTTTTACGGATTTTATCGCGTTTAATTTTAATTATTTTTATTTTTAATTCCCGACGTTTCGGGTCCTTTCCTGCACCCATGGTCACGGGGGATTGAGGTGACTGACGTCCCGATGTCATTCTTAAACCCGGAGTACCTTCACCTTTTTTTAATTATTGTTTATGGTCCGATCTATGCAAAATGAACTGACTATATCCTAAGGTCTTGCAGTGGTATGCTTGGGTTTAGTTTTAATTTTATTGATTGTAGGATCCCAAGCAGGTGGTAGTACCCAGCCTCCTTTGTTTGTCTGCCCACAGGCTGGATATATAAACGGTGGTACAATAACCTCTAAATAGTGTCATGTTTACCTCCTATGAGCATCGCGAAAATCTGCAGGCTATCATGTAAACTAATGAACAACAGTCTCTGCTTCCACTCAACGTCCGCATTGTCCTTGTCATTAGTTACTATGTGTTTCAAGTACTTAAATTGATTTACAGCCTCTAGGGGCACACTATTCAGTAATACCGGTGCTAAATCTCGGGGACACTTGAAACCTGCCTTCAAAATGGGTGACAACGCATCTGCAATTTGATTCGTAATCTAAGATAGATGTAGATGTCTATGGACCACAGCAACCACTTACCATCAGGTGGACTTTGTGCTCGTTTGTCACCCTATACTATAAAAAAAGACCATTCATTGACTTTTCTTCACATTGTACTTCAGACCGTGTCCACTCGTATACTCCTCACAAATTCGTATGAGTTTCCTTCGGTCACAGACCGACCTACTCAGCAAAACCATGTCGTCAGCGTAACTCAGATTGTTAACACATACACCGTCGATATGGCAGTCGACGCACTAACTCAAGTCAAGAGCAACGACAAATCTTTCATTTTTTTATAGGACAAGTGGTGGAACTGATGATAAATGGTTGCTGTGCTCCAAAGACATCAACATCTATCCTCGATTACGAGTCAAAATGGAGATGCGTTGTCACCCGTGAAAACTAACATGGAATGCCTCGTTTCAAATGAAATGGGTATCCGGTTGTTGACACTCGCCATACGAAACACAGTGTTAAGCTGTATTTTTACAGCTTAGTATTCTGCATAAAAACTGCTCCCGATTCAATTACCAAAATTTACACTTTAATTCACTTTACACTAATTAAAACTTAAAAAACTAATAATTAATCACACTGATTCACTTTATTTCTATCCGAAGCTTCTTGTCTCGCCAAATTCAATACTTCCTCGATCGCATTTGAGGCCTTTAAATATTATCACCGAAACTCCAGATATTCAAGTACGCGCGCCAATCGACCAGGCGCCAAAGTTCGAGGTGGGATTCTAGAAAGCTTAGTTCTTCATTTCGATACTGTCGGTTGAAAGATTAGTGATGTCATTTTCTGGAAAGCTCTCCTTTACCCGATACAGATAGTCCAGACGTAATAGGAACACTATTTTACGTGGTATTCATGTGAGAGCGTGGTTCCTCCCCGGTCGAACCGACCCGCTCGTGCTATAACTATACTACTAATATAGCTGTAGCATGACTCTACCAAGTAACAAATTGAAAAGTGTCGGAGATGTTAATCCGCCTTGCCGGCCTCCGCATTCGAACCGATACAAATTCGACACTACACCCGCCCAACATATGCTGTTAGATTGGTGTGAATACCAGTACTGGAAAACTCCGATAAGTTCCTCACGTAAGTTTATGCTTTTTAGCTTATCCCATAAACGGTCATAATCAAAACCCTAGATAAGTGGTTATACGTGGTAGAGCCACGCTGCAGCTATATTATGGTTGTAGCACGAATGGGTCGGCTCGACCGGAGAAGGACCACGCTCTCACAGAATATCAGCGTAATATAGCGACTGTTGTGTATATTGTGTTGTATGGTGAGTGTAGAGATCCGGAGACCTTTTTTACTGGAAAAGACGCGTTCCATCTTAGTCCTCGGGAGTGCAACGCATCTGCGTTTTGATTCTTAATCGAGGATAAATGTAGATATAAGAACTTAGCAGCAATTACTGGTACTTATTAAGTTTTTTCGTGGGGCATGTGAGCTATTTAGTTGGGGGATAAGCGTATAGATTCTTGGAGAGGAGACCCTTTTATGGAAAAGAGGCATTCCATCTTAGTCCTCAAAGTGACAACGCATTTTTTTGTGAGGATATTGGGCCATAGCATCACTTACCACCAGGTGCACTGTGTGCTCGTTTGTTACTCTTATCCTATAAAAAGAAGTTAGTTATTCGCCTTCGAGATTAGTTTAAGTGAGATAATCAAAATGGCGGAATATATATAAAATTATTTAATTACTTTTTCTTAATTTACCACTTTCTCTATTCATTTGTTTATTGTAGTACATGAATAGTAAGTTATTTAAATTTAGTTTAAATGAATATGACAGTATTGCACCACATATATAAAACAGAATTATCTTATTTATTTTTTGCTGTTGTATTCGATTGACAGTTTTTACGTCCGATTACGAGGTACATCTCTAGTAATTAAAAAAAATACCGCTCGTATGCATAATATGTAACTGCGCACGCAAATGAAATCAATTAAACTTTTATACTTTTATAAGTAATTTTATAAGAGTTGATGTACATTTAATAGTCACAGCAGAATAGAAAAATTAGTGGTAGTTAAAAATGTCGTAATCTTGCTAACGCACGCAAGTTACGTTCTAGTGACTTGTCAACTGACCCGTACCATGATATAACGCAAAGACTGTAGAAGAACGAAAAAAACGCTTGTACATAAGGCTTAGCAAATGTACTAGGAACAAAAATAGCCTCATTATTAGAAAACGTGTGTTTGCGCAGATCTACATCTGGCAGCTGAAGGACAACGACCTGGTGGGCGTGGCGTTCATCGACACGCAGATCTACGTGCACCGGCTGCTGTGCGTCAAGAACCTAATCCTGGTGGCCGACGTGTACAAGTCCATCTCGCTCCTGCGCTACCAGCACCAGCACCGCACGCTGTCCCTCGTCTCCCGCGACCTCAGGACCGCACAGGTCTAGCCATTGACCTTACTCGTCTCCTTGTTTAACCACTCCTTTTTTAATCGAATTAAGTTAATAAACGAACACACAGCCATAGTCTAACTACTACTAACAGTCGGTAATCGAAGACGTTTAGATGAGGCAATACTGCGGTGTGGTACGGGGTAAGACGGAGGCGGAGCGCTTCGAGCGGCCGTTAGTCGCTCGGGAACTGTCCGCTAGGGTTCTGTCGCAAATAAATTTAAATGGTTCATACTACATGTGCGGTAAAAAACTGTAAGTCATCCTCATTTAAAGTTAAGGAATTAAAGTTTCATCAGTTTCCACATACACAGGAAGGTGATTAAACGTGAAAAAAAAAACACATTTTTTTTAATCTTTCTATTACTTCCCGTTCTGAGAACCCTATCAATTTATTATTTCAAATTCAAATTCAAAATGCGCAAAATGTGGATGCTTTAACAAATAGACATCTATATTTATATTCGATTAAGAATCAAAATGCAGATGCGTTGTCACCCCTGAGGACTAAGATGGAATGCCTCGTTTCTAGTAAAAAGGGTCTCCGGTTCTCTACACTTAACATACGAAACACAGCAGCATCAAGGTCCCATTTTACGCTGGTATTCTGTGATTTCGGCATACTGTAACCAACTTCAAACAAAGAAAACTACAGATGCGTTGTCACCTCTGAGAACTAAGATGGAATGCCTCACAGCCTGTAACTGAACTGGCTCTCAATAACCTTCAGACTGCAACAGAGCAACGCAAACACTGCTATTTGGTTGCAGACATAGTTAAGTGTGTGGTATATACCCATATGGTCTCCTAGGGAAAGGAAGTCTTACCACCCACTGAAAGATTCTTTCCTAAACCTCAATACCATTCATAATATGTCTCCGTCAGATCTATGATATGCAGTTTGTTGTGGACAATACGACGCTGGGTTTCCTGGTCAGCGAAGCGGACGGCAATCTCGCACTCTTCATGTACCAGCCGCAGGCCAGGGAGAGCTATGGCGGTTAGTCATTTGTTTATGCTTTATTACTACCCTCTATTACTACCCTAAATAACCCCTATAAAATTATACGGATCACTCTATCCCTTTTTAGTGGTGGCGTAAGATAATTCGCTTCCCTAAATCATTCCGTTGGTGTAGTAAGAGACGACAGAGGGTAATGAAGATGGAGATGGCCCTACCCATATATTGCTTCCCAGGGGGCATATTGTTGTTTTATTTTATTTTATTTATTAAGATATACAAAAAACAAACCACTGATTAAAATAGAAGAGAAATATATCGTCAATAACTATCGCACAATAACGTTGATACCTATTATGAATATTTTGTACATGCACTTTTAATAAATACAAAATTTATTAAAAGTGCATGTACAAAAGAAAAATCGAATTTTGCAATAAATATAATATTATAATTACCGAACAATACAGATTTCAAAAAGGCAAGTCTACAACGTTGGCCATTTTCTCTCTCTCTTAAAACAATACTGTCAAATTTAAATAATAATCACTTAACTACGGGGCTGTTTTTGACCTATACCAAAGCTTTCGACTTAATCTCACACGACCTACTGCTATAAAAATTCGAAAAGCTTGGGATTAGGGGACCTACTCTTCAGTGGATATGTTCATACCTCAGTAACAGACAGCAATATGTGTTACAATCATGAAAATAGATGAAAATAAGGATCTCATACCGTACTCGTCTGAATATAGATACAATAGCTATGGCGTTTCACAAGGAAGTGTGTTCGGTCCTATTTTATTTCTATCGTATATAAATCACATTATTTACATAACAAATCATAAACGCATATTATTCGCGGATGGCATTTCAATACTTGTGACATCTAATAAAAAATTCAATTCATGACCATGAGACTGACATAAATAACATTATAGTTAATTGAATGTGGGGAATTCCCCGTAATTTGCGTAATTACCCACATGTTGGCAATGCTGAACATGTATAAAGTGCGAGGCGACACGAGTCGGCTGGGCGGCGGCAGCGCGTGTGAAAGGGAAGGTTGAGTGAGCGTAAATACAGTTATACCTAATGCATTGTAATGAACGGCTGTTCTGTCCTACCGTGCATACGCAGAGTCAATACTGCGCTATGGACTCATAACCTGGGGAAAAAGCACAGATCAAAATAGAACATTTAGTGCACAAAAAATGTGTCGGAGCAATATGTGGCCTTAACCTATTAGCTACCAAGCGTCCAAATTTAACCTTGGCGATATTCCGTCAAAATTCAAGAGGTCAAATGTGACCGCACCTACCCACAGCACTTTAACCCGTAAATACTTATGTTTAGAGACTACTTTTCTATGAAGAAGTTTGGCATTTCATAATCGATATGATTGTTTCTATCCTCTAGTGGAATAAAAAGTCAGTTAGTATGTATGGATATTTATTTATAATCTACATTCATTTCCTACGCTATTTTCGTGTGTATGTTATTGTGTTGATTTTTGGATTTTTCTAGTGTTTTATTAGTGTTTTAGTATAGTGTTTAAAATTGGTATGGAAGTTTTGGTGTGAATATAATTTATCTTTTTATGTAAATAATTTAGAGTAATATGTAGAAATAACTGTTATTTTCACGCTGCCGACATCCGCTTGGTACGTTTTTTTGTTATCAAACTACAATAAAATCTTTTTGTAATGAAGTAAAATCTGACTTTGTTTAGACCTCAGGATAGAGAATTTTGTATAGATTTTATAATGCCTAAAACTTGTTTGTAGAAAAGTAGTCTCTCAATATAAGTTTTAACGGTTTAAAGTGCTGTGGGTCGGCAAATCCTGAGCGGTCGCATGCGAATGCATGGGATTTTTATGGTGATTGGAGGGTTAAATCAACTGAATCATGTCAACAGGTGTTTAAAAACTTGATTTATTACCCCTACTATGTCTTTATATTTATGAAATATGTACTTTTGTATGGAAGCATAAATATTTATTTACCACGGCAGATGATGTAAATCCTCGGATCAGGCGAAACCCCTACAAACTAATTTTAAGTGATAATCCTAGAATATGTAAATATAATAAATGCTGTTTATCCATGTGTGTACGTTTATATAACAAGCTACCAAATAAAATGTTAAATACTAGATTATTTAAATCAAAATTACATGAATACCTAATTAAAAATAATTTCTATAGCATTTTGGACTTTGTTAATCATAAGTCCTAATGTACAAAAACAAAAACTTGCATGCTATGTATAGTTGTAGCAAAACATGCTGTTTGATTATAAAATATTTGTAAAAAAAATCATACCATGTTTTAAACAAATAAATATATTATTATTATTAAAGGTACAAAAGTATTTATAAAAGAATTATCAAAATAGAGTATAGTATATGTACATTCAATGCCGTATAACACATTAGTTTAGACAATAAGTAACTAGTTGAAGAGAGAAAAATTACTATTACAAAAAAAAACAGTATAAAAGAATTTTGCACGAATTAAATACTATATTTTTGATACTTGTAATTTATTCTTAATATAATTTTCAAGCACAAATGTAAAAATATCAATATTACTAAAATAATCATTATATGATTGCACTATGTGTCTTAATAGGAAACGAAGGCCAGAAGGCCAAAAATACTTTTTCATTTTAATTTTAATAAACCTTATTTAATTAATTTTACTCTTACTTTGTTGTGTTGTAAAAATATCTATATAAACTACCTGGTACGTGATGCCATATCACTATTTTATGGCAACCTTTCGCATACTGTATATATGTTAAATTTCTTAATTGGACCTAGATAAATTCGTTGTGTGTGCGTGTGTAACTAGCTTGTCCCCACAAGTGTAACCGTATCCTATGTTAATTGAAGGGCTACGAATACGTTGTCTCCGGAAGTGTCACCATATCCTATGCTGTTTCCAGGGCAGCGTCTGATCCGCAAGTGCGACTACCACGTGGGGCAGCAGGTGCACGCCATGTTCCGCATCAACGCCAAGTCGCTGCCCGAGTCCACGCACCGCCGCCACGTCACCATGTTCAGTCAGTATACCAACGCCATTTTGTGTTTATTGTGCCGTTGAACATAACAGCTGGGAATGAGGAGATCTTCTACCATGCTGTTTCTAAAATGTTTTGATACGTGTATATAGTAATAGGTCCTCCAGACCAATTTGTTCACGGCGGCGTGCCTCAACGGAGACTAGCGATCTGCGCAGGACAGGATTATAGTGCCCTAATGTGCGCGTATAGGTGCACTCTCTATTCACACTCTCATAATCCAATGGGACGTCAATCCGACACGACCGGAAAGAGATCAGGAGCAGGACCAACGGCTTTAAGTGATTTCTGAGGCACCTGGATGAAACACCGCCAATTTTTTGACTTCGGACTACTACTCAGAGTTTCTTACAGAAAACCCCAACTGATTTTGACTCGACCCGGGATTTGAACTCGGGACCTCATAATCTGCAATCGCATTTAAGATCACTAGACCGACGTGGCAGTCACTGAGTATACAGTATGTAACAAATGATCCGGTGACTTTTTACTTCAGCTACAGTTCGGAGAAGGTAATATTTTCCTAGCCCTTCCCTAGGTCGAAAGATATTTATTAATCACTTCCATAATAATCTAAATTAGTTAACAAACTTAGTTCAGCTGCATATTATGCTGTAAAAAAGTTACATATGTTGAAACAGCTAGATTAGTATATTTTAGTTATTTCCATAGCATAATGTCATATGGAATCTTGATATGGGGTAATGCGACTGACATTGAAACTATTTTTGTTTAACAGAAGACAGCCATAGGTCTGAAAGCATCCCTTAGAGAAAATTTAAAAGAAATCAATATATTAACTTTTGTCCTCTCAATATATTTACGAAATTTTAATTTATTATAAAAATAAATATAAATTCAATGTAATATATTGTTCCGCGCTCGAGTCGACGATACACTAGCGCCATCTAGTGTCAGGAACGAGAGCGAGGGGAGCTTTGCAGAAAATGACATCACAAATCTTTCAACCGACAGCGCCATCCGAAGAACTAAGTTTCTAGAAAATCTACACTCGAACACTCGTCGCTTTGCGCGCATTTACTTGAATATTCCGGATGCTTCATTGCTAATTTGTATATATAGGCGCTGCAAGATGCGATCGTGGATATTTTGGCGAGACAAGCGAAGCTTCGGAGCGGAATAAAGTGAGTTAGTGTGTTTAATTATTAGTGTTTTAAGTTTTAATTTGTGTAAAGTAAATTAAAGTGTCAATTTTGATAATTTTATCGGCAATTTTTATTGTCACGAACCTCAAGCTCGTAACAATTGGTGTCAGAAGTGGGATAAAATCATGCCGATTTTACCAAAGGAGGAATCGGAGGGTGTCCGTACCCGAAGTCAACGCCAGCAGGAGACGGACCAGAGGAGATTTGGTGGTGCAACGCCGCAGACGTCGGAAGGCCAGCCACCGGCTGCAGGCCCGTCGGTAGCTCCTACATCTGCAGCACCTGACTTAGGTGCAGGCTCGCCGACAGGAGGAGCAGGTCCGTCAGTTGAAAGAGCAGCTGCGGGGCGGACAGGAGGAACAGGCCCGCCGACAGGAAGACCAGGTTCGTCGTTTGGAGGAGCAGCTGCGGGGCGGACAAGAGGAACAGGCCCGCCGACAGGAGGAGCAGGCCCGTCGGTCGGAAGAGCAGATGCTCCTCATTAAGGACCTTCATGCTACCTTTGGGAGAGAGATAAAGGAGGTGAAGTATAGGGTAATGCTCAACATGACAACCGCCTGTCGGAAGCTGAAACCCAAATCAAGGAAGCTAAAACCCAAATCGACCAAGTGAACAATCGGGTTGATTACGTGGTGGCTGACGTGAAGAAAACTCTGGACGACCTCAAACTGGGTGATGGAACTACAACTCCCGTAGTAGCTACTACACCTTCGCTACGTGGGTTCAAAGTGCCACCGTTCGACGGAACTTCTTCCTGGTCAGCCTACAAAATCCAGTTCGAGGCTGTTATGAAGGCGAACGGCTGGAATAAAAGTCAGGCCATGACTGCTCTCACACTAGGCCTGCGCGACCAGGACTTAACTGTTCTGGAAGCTCTCGGTGAGGAAGTGACTTATGAGCAACTCCTTGAGGCATTGGAGGCGAGATATGGCGACGCTCACATGGAACACGTTTTTCGTGCGCAGCTTAAAGATCGTGTGCAGCGCATCAACGAAAACCTGCAGCAGTGGGCTCTAGAAGTGGAGAAGCTGGTGCGAAAAGCATACCGGTCTGTACCTGCGCTCATTGAAGGGAACCTGGTGCAGACATTCATCGACGGCATCCGCGACCTGGAAGTCAGAGCTGCTGTGAGGCTCGGGCACCACGAGACGCTTAAGGACGCCTTGGCCCATGCACTGGAAGTGGAAGCCGTGCGGCAGGATCATCGTTCCCATCGCGTCAGGGAGGTTGCAGCAGTTACGGTTCGCGACCACAATAAAGGATACAGCCCTAGGTGCTATGGCTGTGGGGAAAAGGGCCACCTTCGATCCAGCTGCCCTAAGCGAACCGCAGAAAGGGAAAGTGAACGATATCAGGAGGGTAGTGCAGCTAACGGCACTGCCTGGCGGCGACAGGATCATCGTTCACCTCACGCTAGGGAAGTTGCAGCAGTTACGGTTCGCGACCACAATAAAGGATACAGCCCTAGGTGCTATGGCTGTGGGGAAAGGGTCCATCTTCGGTCCAGCTGCCCTAAGCACACCCTAGGAAGGGAAGGTGAACGGTCTCAGAAAGGAAGTGCGGCTAACAGCACCGCCCAGCAGCAGCAGGAATACGACTTTACTATCAGACACTGCAGCGAGAAATCTCACGGCAACGCAGATGCATTGTCAAGAAGACCTTGTCCTGAAGATTGCAACCATTGTAGTAGGCAAGGTAAGGAAGTGGTATCCGTGAGGATGCTCAGGACAGACCACCTCATCAACGGGTGGAAGGACAGCCTACGACATGCACAGCAGGAAGATCCGGACATCAAGCCGATTCTGGGATGGATGAAGGCCCGTGCTACCAAGCCTAAGGGAGGGACGTCTCAGCGATGAGTTCAACCACGAAAAGCTTTTGGGCCAAATGGGACAACTTGCTGCTTCAGGATGAAGTCCTGTGCCGTAAATGGGACAATGGTCGAGGAGACAGCTGTCGTTTGCAAATGGTTGTCCCTAAAGCTAAAGTGCCGAATGTTCTACAGCTGTGCCATAATGGTCGTTTAAGAGTCCATCTGGGAGTTAAACGAACTCTACTGAAGGTCCGAGAACAGTTTTACTGGGTCCATTACGGTCCGTGACGATGTCGAGGATTGGTGTCGTACATGTACAAGTTGTGCGGCTGTGAGCGGACCTCAGACACGGAGTAGAGGAGCATCGAAATTGTACAATGTTGGTGCACCACGGGATAGGACATCCCTTGACATTGCGGAGCTGTTACAGAAAGGCGCAAAGGGGACTCCCTAAGATCGTCCATGTGGATCGCTTGGCGCGTTATTATGGGGCCGATAATGCTCGAGACGAGCATGTCTTAAGAGGGCAGTGTTACGCGCTCAAGTCGACGATACACTAGCGCCATCTAGTGTCAGGAACGAGAGCGAGGGGAGCTTTGCAGAAAATGACATCACAAATCTTTCAACCGACAGCGCCATCCGAAGAACTAAGTTTCTAGAAAATCTACACTCGAACACTCGTCGCTTTGCGCGCATTTACTTGAATATTCCGGATGCTTCATTGCTAATTTGTATATATAGGCGCTGCAAGATGCGATCGTGGCAGTATTCGAGACAAGCGAAGCTTCGGAGCGGAATAAAGTGATTTAGTGTGTTTAATTATTAGTGTTTTAAGTTTTAATTTGTGTAAAGTAAATTAAAATGTTAATTTTGGTAATTTTATCGGCAATTTTTATTGTCACGAATCTCAAGCTCGTGACAATATTCTGTAAATACTAGGAACAAGCGCAAGTTAGTTACTCGATTCCAAAGAGTGATTCCTTCATGGGGCAATACGCTTACGCGGGTATACGATTTTATAACTAAGTCCCAGAAAATATGCAGGCCTTAACTATCAAAAAGATTAAAATATTTATTCAGCAAAAATTGTTCAGTAAGGGTTATTATACTACTAAAGATTATATGATTGGTAATTATTCCTGGGAATGAGGTGGTCGCTACCATGCCGTTTCTAATGTCTTCATACTGATTGTATAAAATAATATATTGCAAATTATTTTAATTTAAAAAAGTTCCACTGGGTCACTTGCTGGTTCCCATGACAGAGGTTCTTTTCTTAACCAGTGGTAAAAGTAATAAATTACTTTCAATAAGTAATACATGTAGTCAATATTAAAATTAAAATGATTTTATTCTATTCTATTTATATTTTTTTTATAGAATAAGGGTGACAAACGAGCACACAGTCCACCTGATGGTAAGGATCAACATCAACATAAGGATCAACATTTAACCTCGATTAAGAATCAAAATGCAGATGCGTTGTCACCCCTGAGAACTTAGATGGAATGCCTCGGTTCTCTAATATCACCATACGAAACACAGCAGCATTAAGCTGCTATTTTATGCTGGTATTCTGTGAGAGCGAGCATGGTCCTGCCCCAGTTGAGCCGACCCATGCGTGCTACAACCAAAATATGGCTCGGCGTGGCTCTACCACGTATGAAAATGTCTTTCTTTCTCCTTATCTCCTTTTGTGGCAGTGCTGTGCTTGGTAAATGTTCATATAGACGAAGATGATAGATAACCGACTTACAGAGGACACAAAAACTGATTGATGTTTGCGTGCAGCGACGCTGGACGGCGGGCTGGGCTACGTGCTGCCGGTGACGGAGAAGATGTACCGGCGGCTGCTCATGCTGCAGAACGTCATGAACAACTACTGCTGCCACATCGCCGGCCTCAACCCTCGCGCCTTCAGGTATTTACACATTAGCTTCAGTAGATGTACCGGCGGCTGCTCATGCTGCAGAACGTCATGAACAATTACTGCTGCCACAACGCCGGCCTCAACCCTCGCGCCTTCAGGTATTTACACACTAGCTTCAGAAGATGTACCGGCGGCTGCTCATGCTGCAGAATGTTATGAATAACTACTGCTGCCACATCGCCGGCCTCAACCCTCGCGCCTTCAGGTATTTACACACTAGCTTCAGAAGATGTACCGGCGGCTGCTCATGCTGCAGAATGTTATGAATAACTACTGCTGCCACATCGCCGGCCTCAACCCTCGCGCCTTCAGGTATTTACACATTAGCTTCAGTAGATGTACCGGCGGCTGCTCATGCTGCAGAACGTCATGAACAACTACTGCTGCCACATCGCCGGCCTCACCCCTCGCGCATTCAGGTATTTGCACACTAGCTTCAGAAGATGTACCGGCGGCTGCTCATGCTGCAGAACGTCATGAACAATTACTGCTGCCACATCGCCGGCCTCAACCCTCGCGCCTTCAGGTATTTACACACTAGCTTCAGAAGATGTACCGGTGGCTGCTAATGCTGCAGAACGTCATGAACGACTACTGCTGCCATATAGCCGGCCTCAACCCTCGCGTCTTCAGGTATTTACACACTAGCTTCAGAAGATGTACCGGCGGCTGCTCGTGCTGCAGAACGTCATGAACAATTACTGCTGCCACATCGCCGGCCTCAACCCTCGCGCCTTCAGGTATTTACACACTAGCTTCAGAAGATGTACCGGTGGCTGCTCATGCTGCAGAACGTCATGAACGACTACTGCTGCCATATAGCCGGCCTCAACCCTCGCGTCTTCAGGTATTTACACACTAGCTTCAGAAGATGTACCGGCGGCTGCTCATGCAGCAGAACGTCATGAACAACTACTGCTGCCACATCGCCGGCCTCAACCCTCGCGCCTTCGGGTATTTACACACTAGCTTCAGAAGATGTACCGGTGGCTGCTCATGCTGCAGAACGTCATGAACGACTACTGCTGCCATATAGCCGGCCTCAACCCCCGCGTCTTCAGGTATTTACACACTAGCTTCAGAAGATGTACCGGCGGCTGCTCATGCTGCAGAACGTCATGAACAATTACTGCTGCCACAACGCCGGCCTCAACCCTCGCGCCTTCAGGTATTTACACACTAGCTTCAGAAGATGTACCGGTGGCTGCTCATGCTGCAGAACGTCATGAACGACTACTGCTGCCATATAGCCGGCCTCAACCCTCGCGTCTTCAGGTATTTACACACTAGCTTCAGAAGATGTACCGGCGGCTGCTCGTGCAGCAGAACGTCATGAACAATTACTGCTGCCACATCGCCGGCCTCAACCCTCGCGCCTTCGGGTATTTGCACACTAGCTTCAGAAGATGTACCGGCGGCTGCTCATGCTGCAGAACGTCATGAACGACTACTGCTGCCATATAGCCGGCCTCAACCCTCGCGTCTTCAGGTATTTACACACTAGCTTCAGAAGATGTACCGGCGGCTGCTCATGCTGCAGAACGTCATGAACAATTACTGCAGCCACATCGCCGGCCTCAACCCTCGCGCCTTCGGGTATTTACACACTAGCTTCAGAAGATGTACCGGCGGCTGCTCATGCTGCAGAACGTCATGAACGACTACTGCTGCCACATCGCCGGCCTCAACCCTCGCGCCTTCAGGTATTTGCACACTAGCTTCAGAAGATGTACCGGCGGCTGCTCATGCTGCAGAACGTCATGAACAACTACTGCTGCCACATCGCCGGCCTCAACCCTCGCGTCTTCAGGTATTTACACACTAGCTTCAGAAGATGTACCGGCGGCTGCTCATGCAGCAGAACGTCATGAACAATTACTGCTGCCACATCGCCGGCCTCAACCCTCGCGCCTTCGGGTATTTGCACACTAGCTTCAGAAGATGTACCGGCGGCTGCTCATGCTGCAGAACGTCATGAACGACTACTGCTGCCATATAGCCGGCCTCAACCCTTGCGTCTTCAGGTATTTACACACTAGCTTCAGAAGATGTACCGGCGGCTGCTCATGCTGCAGAACGTCATGAACAATTACTGCTGCCACATCGCCGGCCTCAACCCTCGCGCCTTCAGGTATTTACACACTAGCTTCAGAAGATGTACCGGCGGCTGCTCATGCTGCAGAACGTCATGAACGACTACTGCTGCCACATCGCCGGCCTCAACCCTCGCGCCTTCAGGTATTTGCACACTAGCTTCAGAAGATGTACCGGCGGCTGCTCATGCTGCAGAACGTCATGAACAACTACTGCTGCCACATCGCCGGCCTCAACCCTCGCGCCTTCAGGTATTTACACACTAGCTTCAGAAGATGTACCGGTGGCTGCTCATGCTGCAGAACGTCATGAACGACTACTGCTGCCATATAGCCGGCCTCAACCCTCGCGGCTTCCGGTATTTACACACTAGCTTCAGAAGATGTACCGGCGGCTGCTCATGCTGCAGAACGTCATGAACAATTACTGCTGCCACATCGCCGGCCTCAACCCTCGCGCCTTCAGGTATTTACACACTAGCTCCAGAAGATGTACCGGCGGCTGCTCATGCTGCAGAATGTCATGAATAACTACTGCTGCCACATCGCCGGCCTCAACCCTCGCGGCTTCAGGTATTTACACACTAGCTTCAGAAGATGTACCGGCGGCTGCTCATGCTGCAGAACTGCAGAAGTTATAATTCCATGTAGGTTATATAGGTTAATATTTATTTATTTTTTTATTTATTTTTTTTATAGAAGAGGGGGCAAACGAGCATTTGGCTCACCTGATGTTAAGTGACTACCGCCGCCCATGATCAACCGCAACACCAGGGGAATTGCAGGTGCGTTGCCGGCCCTTTAGAAAGGAGTAAGCTCTTTTCTTGAAGGTCTCCAGGTCGTATCGGTCCGGAAAAATCACCGGTGGTAAATTATTCCACAGAGAGGTTGTACGCGGAAGAAAACTCCTTTTGAAACGTACAGTGGTGGACCGCCAAGCATCCAGATGGTGTGGATGGTATCGGGACGTTTGCCGTGTAGTGCGTTTACGAAATTTGGCGGCTGGGATTAATCCGAACAATTCCTCAGAGCACTCCCCGTGATAGATGCGATAAAATACGCAAAGAGATGCAACATCTCTTCGCAGCGCCAGTGAATCGAGCCGATCAGAAAGCACTCGGTCGTCGACGATTCGAGCCGCTCTGCGCTGGATGCGGTTAAGTGGAAGGAGCTGGTACTGGGGAGCCCCAGCCCAGAGATGGGAACAGTATTCCATGAGCGGCCGAACCTGCGCCTTGTAAAGTTGCAGGCGGTGTGCCGGCATGAAATACTGTCCCGCTCTGCTGAGCACGCCAAGCTTTTTAGAGGCCAATTTGGCCTTCCCTTCCAAGTGACCACGAAACTGCACGTCACTCGATATGTCGACGCCGAGGATTCCGATACTGGCTGAGGCAACAAGGGGAGTGCCTTGAAACTGAGGGGATACGACAAAGGGGTTCTTTTTAGCGGTTAACGCGCAAACTTGTGTCTTCTGGGGGTTAAACTGGACTAGATTTAGTCGCCCCCAATCCGAGACTCTGTCCAGCAGAGACTCGACTTCAGACACAAGTTTGTCCCGGCACTCAGAGACGTTTTCCCGAGAAATATTTGCTCGGCCGGTGTAAAGAGCATCACCAGTGCTGTCATCTGCATAGCAATGAATGCTACGGGTTTGCAACATATCATTGATATGCAGAAGAAACAGCGTTGGCGATAGCACGCAGCCCTGTGGAACACCAGCATTAATAAGCTTGCAATCGGAGCTTGCACCGTCTACAACGACCTTGATGCTCCGATCTGCAAGAAAACTGGTGATCCAATCGCACAATTTCTCGGGAAGCCCATAGGAAGGGAGCTTCGAAAGAAGCGCTTTGTGCCAAACCCGATCGAAAGCCTTCGCAATGTCCAAACTAACGGCCAATGCCTCCCCCTTGGACTCTACTGCCTCCGCCCATCTGTGAGTTAGGTAGACCAGAAGATCACCAGCTGACCTACCACGGCGAAAACCGTATTGGCGGTCACTAATCAGCTGGTGATCCTCAAGGTACCTCATGAGCTGGCAGTTTACAATGGACTCCATTGTTTTGGAGAACAAGGAGGTGATGGCGATAGGCCGGTAGTTGGACGGGTCTGAGCGGTCGCCTTTTTTAGGGATCGGGTGGACGAAAGCCGTCTTCCATGATTTTGGGACTACGCCTAGGGAGTAGGAGTACCGGAAAAGACGCGTTAAAACCGGTGCCAACTCTGGAGCACACGTCCTCAGCACAATTGGGGGGATTCCATCAGGCCCACTCGACTTATGGATGTCCAGGGAGAGGAGTACTTTGCGAACCGAGCGCTGAGTGAAGTGCACTTCCGGCATGGAGCACTCACACCGCGGGATGGTCGGCGGCGTACTCCCCCGTCATCGAGAGTCGAGTTAGACGCAAAGAAAGAGCCTAGAAGATCGGCTTTCTCCTTTGCGGTGTGGGCCAGTGAGTCGTCCTCCCTGTGCAGAGATGGAAGAGATGGCTGACAGAAATTCCCCTGGACAGCCTTGGCGAGAGACCAGAATGCACGGGTTCCAGAAGGAAGACGAACTAGTCTCTCGCCAATTCTGCCTATGTGCTCTGACTTTGCCTTGGCAATGACTCTTTTGAAGGACCTAGAGGCGGAATTATACTTCTTTTTTAGAGCGCTGGTGTTTACATCCCTGGACGCTGATGCGTCAGCCCAGGCTTGGTAGCACTCCTGCTTATAGCATGATGCTATTTTACAGGAGCGACCAAACCATGGCTGAGATTATTTATTATTTATCCTAGATGTTTACGATACAAAGTAATGTAGCTAAAAAGAAACAGGGACAGCAGGTTTTTCTGTCTTCGAAAATATTTATATTCAATCAAGTTCTCACTTCACGTCAAGTGTCAAAACCGTCAAAGTGACTGTTTTGACACTTGACGTGAAGTGAGAATTTGTTTTTTCCCTACTCAGATCTTTTGTAGGGTATGTTTCGAAATAGAACCCAGTGTACTGTCCAATGCAAATGACATGAATCGACGCCATACTGGTGATTCGTTCCAAAAAATAGGACAGTATATGAAGTCATACATTTGCGCCACATTGGAAAAGTGTTGGCGATTATTTTGTCATTTTGTGCTCCAAAAATCATTAAGTATATCGTCCTAATGGAGATACCAACAGTTATTCTATAATTGTTTGTATTTGAATAAATAAAAACAAATTCTGGCATGCTTCATTCAGCGCACACACAATTAAAAATTGTTTTATTATGGCCGGATACGCGACGCAATATGCGACTGTCAATTGATGATGTCATTTGTATTCGGCAGTATATTGAAAACGTTTCGGAACATACCCGTAATATTATATCGACACTTTAAAGGTACTTTAATGCTATAGAGTGACTTCAAACAGAAGAAAACAGTTTAAAGACTTTTAAACTTGATTATTTTTCAACAGCTACTATGAAATGTTAATAGTAATTCAAAATTCTTTGTTTGTTTTATTTTAATTAATAGCCATAGTTTATTTTTGTTCAGCATGGGGCACATTTTGTTTAAAAAGTGTCAGTGTCAAAATAGGACAGTGTCATTTAAGTTTAAAAAATATGTTTTTGTTAGAGCTATTTAAATGTAACTTATGAATAAAATTAACTATGTTACAGAACTTACAAAAATCCTCGAAAAACGATTAGCGGTGGTCCAGCTAGGGGGATGCTGGACGGTGATCTCATAGCGATGTATCCGTCGATGCCGAGCGCCGAGAGGCACGATGTGAGTTGTTGTCTATTTTGTTGATTTATTTCTTTGTTTTCTTGATTGATTGATTTGATTTTAATCATATTCAATTGCCTAGTGATGTTAAGTGCATCTGCTGGATTTGGTTCTGCAACCTGACGGCTGCAAGTTTTTTTCGTTTAGCTTTTATTCAAACATGGTAAATAGATCTTGGCTTACTTAGAAATGGTAAATGGATCATCTCGGATGAGTTAAAATGCAGATGCGTTGTCATTTTTGTGATCAAGTTGCTATCAGAAAGTAGATATCTATTTCGTTTTCATTTTCTTCAGTCGCCTCCAGGCACCTAACACACTATACGGCGACATAATCATACAGTCTGCAATATTATAGGTATAGGTGGGCTCGACCGTTAAAAGACCACGCTCTCAGAGAATACCAGCGTAAAATAGTAACGTAATGCTGCTGTGTTTCATATGGTGGTTGTAGAGAACCGGAGACCCTTTCTACTGAAAGCGAGGCATTCCATCTTTGTCCTCAGGGGTGACAACGCATCTGAATTTCGATTCTGAATCGACAATAGGTATAGGTATCTATGGGACAAAACATCCACTTACCATTAGCTAGACTGTGTGCTTGTTTTCCACTTTTATACTATAAAAATATTGGTAATATTTTGTTGCAGATCGCAAAGAAAATCGGCACCAAAGTTGAGGAGATAATGGCGGACCTCTACGAGATAGACAGACTGACCGCACATTTCTAGTTTTCATTGCGTAGAAGCTGTACATAATTATTTTTAATAAACACTTAGTATTACTGTCTTTTATTTTTCTATTGCGTGCTTTTTCTTTCCAATTGCCTTTTAATAAATACAATGATAGAAAAATATATTTATATAAACTATTTTGGTAGATTTTAGTGACAAATGAGTAAGAAGTTCTACTTTTTTATAGAAGAGGGGGTAAACGAACGTGCGGCCCACCTGATGGTAAGTGATTACTGCCGCCCTCGAACATCTGCAATACCAGGGAAATTGCTGACTTCACTTCTTCATTTGTAAATTTCTTTTCCGAAGCTCTTTTTTCTCATGTTTGGAAATAGGTATAAATAAATTATTTGAACGGTATGAGAAGTGTATCATCAGGGTTAATGGAGAATATATCGGAACAGAAAAATGATTTCATGTTTAATATCACCCCTTTTCCTTTTAATGCCGCAAAATTTTGACCTCTTGTATTTTATACATTGAAGTGTAAAAACATTTACAAACAGTCACCACTTTTTTCCCAGTTGTTAGTTGTTAAAAATGTGAGAAGGTAGTGAGAACGTTTTGAATTGATACTCGTAAGGCGAAATCTGACAATCGTTTACAATTTTAAAGAATTTAAAATCCTTGCTTTGAACATGAAGTTAATGCCCCATAAATGAAATGAAAAGAATGATTTTATTCAAAATAGATTATTGCATAATACTAATTGAAAGTTATTTTTTATTTACCATTGGTTCGGAAAAAACCCTGTCCTGGGAAGAATCAGCAAGAAACCCAACGGGACTACATAAAAAAGTGTCACATTATCACACATATGTTCTTCAACATGATTGAAAATAGAAATTGCGATAACCACAACGGACTGCGCGGGGTGTGTTTGTTAAAAATAGGCATCAACACACAAATAAATATTTGGTAATACAGTACAACCCATGTATAACGAACCTCAATATAATGATATCCTCGATTTAACAAATTCTTAGAAATCCCTTAGAACTGGCCGTATACCTTGAAATCACGAATAACTTTTGTAAAAACCTCTATATAACATTTTTTTAATTATCGCAAAACAAGTAGAGACAATAATTATGTTCTTACCTCTATATACCTCTGCATAAAGTATTCTGTTGCCGTTCCCGTTGCATTTTTTCATTGCGTTCATTGCCATGTAGCAGCGGCGTTATAATCTTGCCACCTGTCTGACTCTTCCCGTGGATGTCGTACAAGGCGACTATGGCCAAAGGCCAAAAAAAGAACAAGCTTTGGCATCCGACAGATGGCGGAATAACCATATCAGTTCTCTGGTCAGGCTAAAAATATCCAGCGTAGATTACTAACTAGTTCTTCTATATCCAGATCTGTGACGGGCTGCAGCGTCACAGGTGCGACGTGTGCTGCGAGTGCCAACCCGCTTGCTCAGCGTGGCCCAATGGTAAGCACCATAAAAACACGGCCCCCCAGTTCCCGGCCGTCCCTATGTACCTGACCGTGGTGGCGGTCATGGTAGAAGTTGGACAAGGGGTGCTAAGAATCCCCGGGAGAGGGCAAGATACCACCACAAACTGATAAAAATACCACAGAATAAATAATAGATATGAGGTATATCAAAATAAGTGGATCAAAATAAGTTAGTCGGTATATAGTGGATGTTACCTTTGATCACTCGAAGATTGGGATTTTTTGGTAATAATGTCCTCCAGAGCGAATTTCGGCCACGGCGGCCTGCCTCAACGGAACCTAGCCATCGGTGCAGGACAGGATTATAGTGTCCAAGTGTATGCGCAAGCACAGGTGCACTCTCTATTTCCTCACTCTCATAATCCGATGGGACGGTAAACCGACACGACCGGGGAGAGCAGGCGCAGAACCAACAGCTTTACGTGCTTTCCGAGGCACGAGGGTGAGACACCGCCAACTTCCGGACTCCAACTACTGAGAATTTCTTGACGGAAAAACTCAATAATTGATTTTTTGGCCCGACCCGGGATTAGAACCCAGGACCTCATGATCAGCAGTCGCACTACTACAACCACTAGACCAACGAGGCAGTCATTTTTGGTAATATTATAAATATAAATGAAGTAGATGAGTTTGTATATTTGGGCTGCGTATTTAGCAGGGATGGGAGATATGATAAGGATATAGAACGACGAGTGAATGCGGGAAATAGAGTAAATGGGGCCCTGCACTCTATTGTGAAGAGTCAAAATGTGTCAAAAAAGGCACGTATGGCAATTCACAATGCTGTGTTGGTCCCCACTTTAACGTATGGTAGTGAAAGGTGGGTGTGGCAGAAGAAGCACGAGAGTAGAATCAACGCAGTAGAAATGCGGTCGTTAAGGAGTATGTTAGGGATGAATCTGAACACAGGGTAAGAAATTGTGTAATAAGAGAAGAGTGTGGTTTGCAAGATGATGTTGTGACCAGGATTAAGAAAGGAATGCTTCGGTGGTTTGGCCATGTGGAAAGAATGAATGAGGAAAGAGTGACAAAGAAAATTTATGTTGCAGAAGTGAATGGCAGAGTCGGAAAGGGACGTCCTAGGCGAAAATTTATCGACCAAATTGGCGATTTATTGAAAACGGGCCAAATTAGGAGTACCCTTAACCGACGAGCATGTATGCGTAGGTATATGGATGTGAAGGAGGCGAGAGAGGTGTGTCAGGCGAGAGAGGATCGTGCCAAATGGAAGTCTGTAGTCTCTGCCTACCCCTCTGGGTGACAGACGTGAGTGTTTATGTTTATGTATAAATGGACATATTATCCCTTAGTCGTCTTCGTTTTAATCATATTACTTTAATGGTATTCAGAATGTAAACTCACAATCAATCAATAATGTAAAAACAAGAATCCATATGACATTTATGCACCGAAAGCCACAATATTTTGCCGGAACTAATGAAAAGATTTTCCATCGATCTAAAATTACCTATAAATCCTGTTCTGTTCTCTGTGACAACATTTTAGAAATCTACAGTGTGTCGGCGACGGTAGCGTATTTTGTTTTAAAACTAACTAAACAATATACTGTAAAGATTGTCTCAAGTTTACGCGGCAACTTCGACACACTCGGACGATGAAGTTGAAGCTATGTATAAAGACATAGCGAAGGCTTTACACGACACCATAAAGCCCACTTTAATGTCGTCGTGGGGGACCTTAACGCCAAAGTTGGAAAACATACAGGGTGTTAAATCGACTATGGGACCGCACGGATTTGGAAGCAGAAACCACAGGGGGCAAATGCTAATCAACTTCCTCGAAAAGGAAAGGCTTCATCTAATTAATTCCTATTTTCAAATAGCCCCCAAAGGAAGTCGACCTAGCAAGGCCTCGACTACGTGACGAAAAATGAGGTCGACTTCATCACGACGGACAAAAAGTACGTATTCATAGATGTCTCAGTGATCAATAGGTTTTATACCGGAAGCGATCATCCACTTGTTAGATGCACTCTGAATATCGATTTCAAGATTGAAAGAGCCCGTCTGATGAAGTCTACGCTCCGACTAAACTACTCTACAAAACTACTCCGACTAGACTACGGTCTTTCAAACCGTAGCGGGATCCCAAAGTTTCCAATTGGAACTCCGGAATCGATTCGATGCCTTAAAACCCACATTGGACATTTACGAGGATATCACTAGTGTGGTTAAGACTTTAAGGGATGAAGAGAATAGGTTGTGTAGGCAATATATAGACTGGAAGTCTAAGTTCTTAGACGAGACACTTCAGCTTATGCAAAAGCGACGTGAGGCAACAACAGCCGCGTCATCAGAACAGCTGACATTCACCAGACTCGTAAGGAAAGCTGTACGGTGGGACCCATGGTGCTCTAATGCAATCCTTATTCAAGAGGCAATAGAGCGAAACAAGGGTCCAAAGTCTTTGCTCGGAAGCTTCGGAGGATGGATACGTGATGGCAAAACACTCACGTCGAAGCCTGAATTCTCGTTGAGATTGAAGGTTATTACGGCACACTGTATGCCTCCCAAAATCAGCAACCTGACCTCAAATACGACGATCCCCGGGCCACACCAACCCGCCACTTTACTGACGAGCTGTCAGATATCTGACTGGAGATCGAGTTGGCCCTCGGGTATTTTAAAAATGGAAAAGCCCCTGGATAGGACAGAGTTACAGCAGAGCTCTTGAAAGCGGGGCGACAACCATTACTAAAACAGCTCTGTCGAATTTTAACTGCGTTTTACGAGATGATAGAACTCCAACGGCGTGGAGCAGAAGCATCAGAGCCTTCTTTTATAAGAAAGGTGACAAGACAATGTTAAAGAATTATTGGCCCATCTCGCTTTTGAGCCACGTCTATAAGTTGTTTTCGAGGGTCATCACTAATCCACTCGCGCGGAGACTTGACGAATTTCAAACACTCAAGCAGACTGTGTTTCGAGGAGGCTGTGGCACCATAGACCACATTCATAGACCACATTCACACAGTAAGGCAAATTATACAGAAGATGAATAAGTATAATCAGCCTCTGCGTTTGCCCTTTGTGGACTATTAGAGAGCCTTTGACTCCATCGAAACTTGGGCTGTTATAAATTCTTTGCAGCGGTGCCGGATTGACTGGAGATACATAGATTTTTGAGACATTTAAAGACTACAAGCCCAATGTCCGTCCAAGTACAGGAGACGCTGAACTGGAATGGACGTGGCATTAATATAAACGGCGAACACATTCACATTTATGCTTTACCTATATATGATATTGATGTCATGGCAGAATCGCTGCAGGAACTACAAGACATGCTGAGCAGCCTAAATAATCCTCCCAACGTGTCGGTTTGCGTCTGAATTTAAATAAGATGAAAGTCATAACTAACAGTCATGTCATACCAGATTCGACTATCGTTGATGGTGAAATTCTTGAAGTTGTTCAGGAGTATATCTACCTCGGACAGATAATGCAGATAGATAAAAACAACTTCGAGAAAGAAGCCGATAGGCGGTTTCAGTTGGGCTGAGCAGCGTTCGG